ACCAACAGGTGACAACTCTGGTTCTCTGCCTCTCAAATAGCAATCAAAATAGAGCTTCTGGAGTTGGAATCACGGCGCTATCAGTTATCAACAGCACAGCTCCGAGTCTTCATTTCCTCTCTGCAACAAGGAGGCCGCACCCTCTTCCCGGAGGAGGACTAAGTGAGATGCTACACGCGCAGTGCCAGGTGTATATTAAGTGTACTGACTCAACTTATAGACTACATTAAAGTGGGAGTGCCACATGGGTGGGGTTCTCTTTGAATTCAGAGTTACACAGAGAGAGGAGAGGCAGAGAGAGAGAGAGAGACAGAGAGAGAGAGAGAGAGACAGAGAGAGAGACAGAGAGAGGTCTTCCATCCACTGGTTCACTGCCAGTTGGCCGCAATGGCCAGAGCTGTGCTGATCTGAAGCCAGGAGCCAGGAGCTTTCTCTGGGTCTCCCACCCAGGTGCAGGGGCCCAAGGACTTGGGCCATCTTCTACTGGATCAGAAGTGGAGCAGCCGGGTCTCAAACCGGTGCCCATATGGGATGCCAGCACTGCAGGCCGCGACTCTACCTGCTATGCTACAGCGCCTGCCCCAGGCTCTTAGAGTATCTTTGGTAGCAACACCTATGGAAAGGAGAAGGAAGCGGGGTGGGGGAGAGGAAGTCATGTTTAACATAGGCCTCAGAGTCTCAGCCATCCCCCTAACTCACCACCCCAGGGGCGGGGCGGGGGTGGGGTGGAAATCTCTGGAGTGCAATGGCTGAGCAAGCCAAGCCTCTGTATGCCCTCAGTTAGTCACTGGATGTGCACCACTCCCTCCTCCCCAGGCACGGACTCACACAAGGTGGTTCTCCACAGCCAGGGCAATCCATGAAGAGCTGACAGTGGAGGCCTCCCAGCACTGTGCACTGAACTCTTCCTTGAAGGAGGGTCAGAGTGGCACTCTGTGCTCAACACAGGGCAGTCTAAGAAACACGTGGAAAATAGCAGCAAATTACTGTTGCTGGAATCAAAGAAAGAGGTGCCTAAGGATGACAGTAGGACCGTGAAGCTGATCGAGGAGGAGCCGTGGACATTGGGAGGAGCTCTGTGTGTGATGGAAAAGCTTTCTTGTTCTCCCTTGATCTTGGGGGAGGGTGGATCAAGGCCCTTTGTTTAGTGAAAACTGTAGTTTGCAATGGAAGTGGTAACTGGGAAAAAAATCCCAAGTACTCTGTATGATGAGAAGGTCGACGTGGGAGGCAGCCACAGTTGACGCCACAGAGAAGGGGAGAATTGGTGGTGGTAAAAATTTGGTGGGCAACAATGGGGGGACGTGGTTAGTGCAGTAGTGAAGATGCTGCTTGGGACACGCACGAGCCACTCTGGAGTGCCTGGGTTCGAGTTCTGGCCCTGCTCCTGGTTCCAGCTTCCCGCTCAGGTGCACCCTGGGAGGCAGCAGGGGATGGCTCAACTAGTCAGGTTGCTGTCACCCACATGGGAGACCTGGAGTTCCTGGCTTCTGGTTTTAGCTTGGCTTACCCTAGGCCACTGCTAGCATTTGAGGAGTGAGCCAGTAAATGCGATAGCTCTCTGATTTCAAATAAGTAAGAGTGGTTAACATTGTCCCCTTTTGAAATGCTAGGCACAGTTTCAGTGCTTTTTTTTTTTTTTTTTTTTGACAGGCAGAGTGGACAGTGAGAGAGAGAGAGAGAGAGAGAGAGAGAGAAAGGTCTCCCTTTGCCGTTGGTTCACCCTCCAATGGCCGCCGCGGCCGGCATGCTGCGGCTGGCGCCTATCTGAAGGCAGGAGCCAGGTGCTTCTCCTGGTCTTCCATGGGGTGCAGGGCCCAAGCACTTGGGCCATCCTCCACTGCACTCCCGGGCCACAGCAGCGAGCTGGCCTGGAAGAGGGGCAACCGGGACAGAATCTGGCGCCCCGACCGGGACCAGAACCCGGTGCGCCGGCGCCTCAAGGCGGAGGATTAGCCTAGTGAGCCGCAGCGCCGGCCAATGTGCTTTGTATATATTAATTCCTGCAGCCCACCACACTGTAAGATAGTGGCTACGTGATTTTCCCCATTTTAAACCATTTCTATGTTATTTAGCCGATAGGCAGGCAGGCACAGTGAGCTCCTAATCAATCCACTGGCTCACTCCTCAAATGCCCACAATGGTGTGGGCTGAAGCCAAGGGCTGGGAACTCAATCTAGGTCAAACCCATACATTCAAAATTAGGTGTGCAGATGAGGCCGGCGCTGTGGCGTAGCAGGTAGGGCCACTGCCTGCAGTGCCAGCATCCCATATGGGTGTTGGTTCAAGACACAGCTGCTCCACTTCCGTTCCAGCTCTCTGCTGTGAACTAGGAAGGCAGGGGAAGATGGCCCAAGTCCTTGGGCCCCTGCACCCACGTGGGAGACCTGAAAGCTCCTGGCTCCTGGCTTTGGATCGGCGCAGCTTTAACTGTTGCGGCCAATTGGGGAGTGAAGCAGCAGATGGAAGACCTGTCTGCCTCTCCTTCTCTCCTTGTGTAACTCTTTCAAATAAAAATCAAATCTTTATGAAAAAAAAAGTGCAGTCCACAGAGGAAACCTAGAAATTCCTGGCTTTAGCCTGGCCCAGTCCTGGCTGTTGTGGCCATTTGGGAAGTGAACCAACAGAAGGAAGACCTGTTTTTCTCTGTAACTCTGCCTTTCAAATAAATAAAATCCTGAAGAAAAAAAGGTGGGGGCAGCACTGGTGGTGCCAGCATCCTAACCTGTTAGCTAAACACCGTGTCTGACAGCTGTGTATAACCACACCTTCTTCTCAGCGGGCACTTTCTTGGCATTTCATTCTCAAGGGGGCGCTGCTAATAGGTAGAGGCCCTCGAGTGGCCAGGAGAATAACTGAGGAAGTTTACATCCAAAATCGATCTCTGGGAGCTGGTGATGTGGCATAGTGGGTAAAAGCTGCCGCCTGCAGTGCTGGCATCTCATGTGGGCACCAGATCCAGCTCCCTGCTAACGTGCCTGGGGAAGCAGCAGAAGATGGTCCCTATCACCCACGTAGGAGACCTGGAAGAAGCTCCTGGCTCCTGGCTTCAGATTGGCCCAGCTCTGGCCATAGAGCCCATTTGGGGAGTGAACCAGTGGATCAAAGATCCATGTATGTGTTTCTCCTCCTCTCTGTAACTGCCTATTTATTTAAAAGATAAATAAATCTTTTTTAAAAAAATCAGTCTTCAGACCCCGATGTTTCTCGTCTTGGAGTCAGTATTTTTCCAGGCCTCCTCCCAGCCCTCCTTTTCTCCTTTCCTGATGGGGCAAGGTGTTTACTCTCTACAGTCAACTGCTGTCTAATTATGTGTGACACCCTCCACTTCACACTGCTAACAATCATCATATAGACATACAGTGATGAGCACTCAGTCTGCCACTTTGTGCTTGGTTTTTGGAGAGAGAAGATGCATGAGCCAAGAGTAGTACAGTACTTTACCGAGTCCTGATCATTACATGCAAGGCTCAACGCTGTTCTAATTCTAGTTCTCTCAAGTACTTTTCTTATCCCTCTTCCCTCCACACCCATAGCCATATTATCAGGATTATAACACCATTAGGCAATGTAAAAACACGCAAGGAGGGGCCGCACTGTGGCGCAGCAGGTTAACGCCCTGGTCTGAAGCCCCCCATATGGGTGCCAGTTCTAGTCCTGGCTGCTCTTTTTTCCTATCCAGCTCTCTGCTGTGGCCTGGGAAGGCAGTAGAAGATGGCCCAAGTCCTTGGGCCCCTGCACCCACGTGGGAGACCCGGAAGAAGCTCCTGGCTCCTGGCTTCGGATTGGCACAGCTCTGGCTATTGCGGTCATCTGGAGAGTGAACCATCGGATGGAAGACCTCTCTCTCTCTCTCTCTGCCTCTCCTCTGTGTAACTCTGACTCTCAAGTAAAAAATAAACCTGCTAGCTATTTTAAGAAAACTCCAAATGCCCACTCTCACCGTGAGACCTCCTGGACTCTGAGTCTCTCCCCTGGACACTCACCTTCTCCCTGGGGACCTCACTCATGCTCACTGCGCCAGTTTCCCCCCACCACTCGGATTCTTCTTCCTTTTCCCCATTCACTGTACACTACATTCAAGCTGACAGTTTATAAAGCTTTTGGAAAGGAGTAACGGACAAAGGACTGCAGGGAACAATGCAAGTACTTACGTAGGCAGGGCTTCCTCTGAGACGGAGCACTGAGATCAGCGATGACAATGCCCTGCTTTCGGTAAGCTAAGCGTATGGCAGTGGCAGTATGCTAATATGTGACAGGGCAATGCATGGCAAGGGACCCACACGTTTATCACCTCCATCACTTCCAGGGCTCAGGAGGCAGGGGGCCTGTAAGTTACCAGGGGGGACAACCACATCCCACTTTGGCTTCTGATTCCAAGTCCAGCTTCCTCTTGTAGATTCTGGGAAGCAGCAGGTGAGGGGTCAAGTGATGGGGTTCCTGTCACCCCATCCAGAGACCTCAAGTGAGTTCCCGGCTGTTAGTAGCGGACTCCTACCTGGCCTTGGCCATTAGAGGCATTTGGAAAACCAACCCTCAGATGGGAGATCATTCTCTGTCTCTCAAATCAATCAGCCAATGTAGTACTGCATTGTGGTTTTCCCCAGAGCCACTGCTGTCACCAACACAGCAGTGCCTGCTTCCTGTAGACCCTCCTTTCTATTTTCAAGCTGGTGACTTAGTAAATTCCTCCTTCTAGAAGGATTATAATATGAATGGAAAACAGAATAATGATTTAGGTAGAAATTATCTAAAATACAGATAGTCTTGATCACGCATCCCCAGTGGGGGTAAAAGTTCTGGGAGGTTCAAAAAAAAGCCCATTTTGTAAAAGCACAAAAATATATATAGTTCATAAACAGATACATAAGTATATGTCTGATGTTAAAATTTCAGGAAAAGGGATGATTAGGAAAAAAAAATCTAATGAGGCTCTTTTGGAAGGCAATGAAGCAAAATAAGGAAACACTGCTGTAGATTCAATTGCCAAGTCAGAAATACCGAAGTTAACTCCATCTTTAATTTAAAGTCCTGGCAAAAATCTTGGCTTCTCCATTTTTTTTTTAAAGATTTATTTTATTTATTTCAAAGACTGAGTTACAGAAAGAGGTAGAGACAGAGGTCTTCCATCCGCTGGTTCACCCCCCAGGTGGCCACAATGGCTGGAGCTGTGCCGATCCAAGCCAGGAGCCAGGAGCTTCTTCTGGGTCTCCCACATAGGGGCAGGGGCCCAAGGACTTGGGCCATCTTCTGCTGCTTTCCCAGGCCACAGCAGAGAGCTGGATCGGAAGAGGAGCAGCTGGGACTAGAACCAGCACCCATATAGGATGCTGACACTTCAGGCCAGGGCTTTAACCCACTGTACCACAGTGCCGGCCTGGCTCTTCCAGTTCTAACCAATGTACTTGAGAATGGCTCCAATTCTCTGGCTTTTAGTCAAAGCCATTAAAATTGTTCAGGTGTAAAGAAAACATTTGGATTAAACAAAGAAAAAAGTTTAAACATTGTTTATAATACACAGAGTACAAACCAAGAAAAGTAAATTTATTTAAATTACTAAAATAGCTTTTAAAGTCATTTACAGATCAGCTACTGCAATTATTTTTCCTGAAAGATAGAAGTAACATATTATTTTAAAATTATTTGGGTTAGTGAGACATTTAATAAAAACATTTGTTTCTCTGTATAATATATATATATATAAAATAAGCCTTTTCAAAAACTCCTGTTTTATAATCCTCTATAAAACAAATCAGATGATCTGACTTCTGATAGGAACAAACTACAATCAGGGATATCAATTTACAAAAACTGGTAATTCTCAGTGGCAAAACTTAGCCCATTATCTATTACCAGTTGTGAGACCCTCAGAGGGTAAATGAGGAAGCTCTAATACTTTAAAAAGAATATTTTCATTTGAGGGTCTATGGCTAATGACAAAATGAGGCAGACTGAGACTGAAAAGATTTTAAGAAAACCAAAGCAGTTGACAGATGAGAAAGCTCACTTATGGAAGCCAAGTTACAACTAAAATACTGTAACAGTACAGAAATAGTTTTACCATTCTTTTTCTGTGGTAAGGTCACTATGTTTGTGGCTTGAGGCACTCAACAGAATTTGTCACGTGCATAGTACATCTTTATGTTTGCTACGGAGTGTGATTAAAGGAGGCTGCGCAGGAAATTAACATCCGTCTTCAGCAGCCCAGGAATAGCTGGTGAAGAAAGTTTAAATTCCTGAAACTACATTTCTTAATGCAAAGCAATAGCTTCAGGGTAAGTACAAAGTAAACTGCTCGGGATTTACCCACTTTTCAGAGCCAAATAAGCAAATATATTAAGCCTTGTGATACACAGGCTTTGAGAAACCTCGAAAGGTCTAGGACATTCTTGAAGGGGTGGGGAGGAGAGGGGAGAGAGAAAAGGCTGTGTAACAAACAAGCCCCAGCAGAACTGGCTGAGGGAGGAGTTCAGACACCTGTGCTGACCATCCTACCTCAGGGGCTTACTGTAACATGTCTTCCTGCAAATCCACCCCCACCCTTCCCCAGGTCACCACTTCTCTCTCCCTTTGCCGCCGCCTCTCTACCCTTCAAAAACAAAGCGGAAAATAGAATCCACACACACACACACGCACACACACACATGACCTTTCATTACACTTGTTCCTATAAGCAGAAGCTGACTGAGGAACTCATGTCTGAATGACCCTAAAAGGAAACATAATGGGAAAACCCTCGGTTACATTTAGGGAGCTGCCTTACTAATAATAATTCAACAAAACTCCGTGAGCAATCCAAGTTAAAGGAATAGGCTGATTCCCCAGAAGGAAGCCTCATCCCTCCCACGGGCCACCCCCGGCAGCTCGGCAGGAGCGCTCGGTGGGCCGCGTGTGGCCAGACCTGCATCCCCTGACCCCGCTCTCGGTGTCAGCAGGGAGTGCCTCTCAAATAACCGATCGTGAGCTGGCTGGACACATGACTTAGATGTCCCATGTTTACAGAGGACTTCACCTCCTCAAAGGAAACCAGCGGTTTCACACAGAGCTTTGCACTTGGCGTCTGGTCAGCAGGCCCGCCAGCTCTCAGGCTCAGGCGCGCCTTCCTCCTCTCGACCCTCACAGGCAGGCGCCCCCTCGGAGGGCGGTCTCGGGCTGCACGGGCAGGACCAGGTGCGAGATGCGGCTCCAGAGTCCGTTCAGCTTGTCTGCGTCCATATCATTGTAGGCGCTGGGTGTGTCCGAGCTGGTGAACTTGGCTCTGAGGAAATCCCGCACTTTCTCCTCGACCTCCTTCAAGCCGGGGCTGGTGCCCAGCGTCTCCTCCTCCAGCAGGACGGTGAGGACTAGCGCCACGTCCTTGAAGGCCGCGTTCTCGTGGTCACAGTACTTGTAGAAGATGAGGGTGGCGCCCGCGGGCAGCGACTCGAAGCGGTGCACCACGGCCGCGTTCCGGCCGTTCCTGAAGCCCTCGCTCAGCTCCCGGTCCACCTCCTGCTTGACGGCGTCGCTGTCGCGGGCGGCCTGGCCGGCGCCGTCGATGCGGATGGCGCGGACGCTGCGGAAGGCCGAGTAGGCGTCGGCGATGCGCTCGCCCAGGCAGCGCAGGGCCGGCTCGGCGTCGCGGGCGGCGGCCAGCAGCAGGATGGCGGGCTGCGGCCGCGGCCGCGAGGCGTTGAGGTGCCGCTCCAGCAGCGTCTGGCTCCTCCTCCAGAGCGCCTCGTCCTGGCCCCGGTAGCTGCGCTTCAGCTGCTGCATCTGCGCCTGGAACTGCCGCACCGCGGCGGCCTCGGGCGCGGGAGCCGGCGCGGGCCAGAGCCACAGCGCCGCGCAGGCCAGAGCCGCCAGCAGGGCCAGCAGGCCGCAGCACCACTTCCTCCCTTCCCGCGCCGGTCCGCTCGCTTCTGCCGAGACAAAGGCGCCCGTAACTACCGGTTCCCCAGGCTCCGGGACCTCAGACACCCGCCTCCCCGGCGTGAAGAGGGAGACAGGCCCGAGGAGCACACTTTATAAAGCAAAACGATCACTGCCACTGCTGACAGCTGGGGAGGTCAATAGTACTAAAAGTCACTATAAAAATTTCTAATTTAGAAATCAGTAGTTCATACGGTTTACTATCCAAGGCAGAATATTTCTGAAGTAAATAAAGGGGATAAAGAAAAGGCTGTAATAAAAGCGAACATTTCCATGCATATTTGAGTCTTCAAAACGTTTGTGGAAAGTGTACATTATAAAAAAATGAGGCAAGGATTTATTTTGCCTCAAAATAAAACTTCCCTTTTAATTAAATTTTCTATGAACTTTCTGACGTACCCTCATAACAGCTAGCTGTTCCTTATATTAACTGCACTAATGCCTACCTTTTTGTGATATGCAAGTTAACACCGGTAAAATTTAGCTTCCAACTCATTCCTAATTATTGATAATAATATCAATTTATATTAATTTAGTACTTTTCAGTTTATAAAACTATTTCATAGAATCAGTTTATATTATGATAGTAACAATAACACTTTTACACCTGTTGCTGATTGCCTGAGGGTATTTGTACTAGAGCTCTTTCTGGGGACGGTCAGTTTTAATTAATGTCCCCATTCCCTCGTTAAATCCCAGTCCCGGAGTACTACCACCTCAGTACTCTGTGTGAAGAACTGGGAAGCAGACAGAGTACTTCCACTGCATAGCACAGTACAAAGGCTGTCGTAAGTAAAAGAACTTTGTGCACCTGAGCTGCAAAACGACTCTGTGCTTTTCTCACGCAATACCATTTTCACCTGACAGAGCAAGTCAGACTTGGGTATTTGCTACACACTTCTTTTTAAATGAACAAATTAAGCTTATTACTTCTGGGAAAACAACTGGCAACGGACTTAACATTCAAGTTTTCAAGTAAATATTAGGCCTCTGGAAATATAAATTTGCCACTGTGAGTTTGGTAGCTCCAAACACTTAAAAGCTTTTTTTTTGACGGGCAGAGTTAGACAGTGAGATAGAGAGACAGAGAGAAAGGCCTTCCTTCCGTTGGCTCACCCCCCAAATGGCTGCTACGGTTGGTGTGCTGCGCCAATCTGAAGCCAGGAGCCAGGTGCTTCTTCCTGGTCTCCCATGGGGTGCAGGGCCCAAGCACTTGGGCCATCCTCCACTGCCTTCCCGGGCCACAGCAGAGAGCTGGCCTGGAAGAGGGGCAACTAGGACAGAATCCGGCGCCGCAGGCGGAGGATTAGCCTGGTGAGCCGTGGCGCCAGCCTCACTTAAAAGCTTTTTTAAAGTCTTAAGATTGCTGGCAGTATTAACAAATGTGATCTTTTACATTATGTTATGAAGGTGTCAGCACTGGGAAGATCTATATATATTAGTGAACCAGTATTACCCAAATGTCCAGTGCATGATACTCCATTCAAAGTATAATAAAGATGAATTAATTTTAATGTAATAGAGTACAAGTTCACTGGTATACCTTCATACTTCAAAATAACATTGAACAAATATCACTTGTGGGTTTCAGAGATTATCAGAGAGTATCTACAATTATCTGAAAAGGGTATTAAATTCTTCATATTTGTATGGAGTTGATTTTCTGAAGATATGTCAGCCAAAACAATATTTTGTAACAGGCTGAATATGCAGAAGCAAATTTCAGAATTCAGAGAGGACCAGTGCTATGGCGCAGCAGGTAAAGCCACCACCTGCAGTGCCAGCATCCCATACGGCTGCCTATTTGAGTCCTGGCTGCTCCTCTTCTGACCCAGCTCTCTGGTTAAGGCCTGGAAAAACATCCAAAGACAGTCCAAGTGCTTGGGGCCCTGCACCCAAGTGGGAGACCTGGAAGAAGCTCTTGGCTATGGCTACTGCGGCCATTTGGGGAATGAACCAGCAGATGGAAGACCCCTCTCTCTATCTCTGTCTCTCTTTGTAACTGCCTTTCAAATAAATAAAATAATTCTTAAAAAAAAAAAAAAAGAAAGAAAGAACATAGGGACACTTTATTAATTCAGGTATTAAAGAGTTCTAATAAAACACAAAATAACCTGTCATTCTTTTTACAAAAGCATTAAAAAACTTAATAAACATTAAAAATGTTTCTCAACTTGAATTCCTAAGTAAATGCAGATGGGTATAATGTATATATTTTTTAACAAAAAAAGATCTTTGGGCTACTTTACTAGTACAAAGTGGTATCTGAGACCAAACTTTGAGATTAACTGCTAATTTTCTTAGTACACATTTTCAGGATAACAGGATTAGCAAATTAAAGGAATCTGTCCCAAGGCTTTACAGAAGTAAGGCTTCCAATCCAGTTAAAGCACCTTTAGTTTTGGTCTCTGGACAAGCAAAGGAGAAAACCAGATGTTGTTTCATAGTTTACTGTTCAACTATGGACCACCAATTTTAGAGACTCATTCAATAAAAACTGACAAACTTACGTTGGCTGGAGGCTACCGGGGATTGGTTTCTGAATCCAAGCTCTGACTTCTGAATCCTGTTATCTAATGAAAGGAGAAATAAAAAGACGGTTAACGTAAACGTAGGTTTCACAGTTTCCGTGTTTGTTTCCACTGCAGGAAGAAGACACAAGCAGCACGAAGAGAAAGTGGAGACCAGCCGGAAGCAGCAGAGGAGCGTGCCCGTGAGGCTGCCGCTCCGAGACGCAGCCTGCTCCCCGCAGAGTTAGGCTCCGCGTGCCGCGCTCTGATACGAAGCATACACTTCAGACTCAGTTGTGAGGAAGCGCTCATGTACTTCAGCCAGGATTACTTAATGGGACAGGTAAACTTCTGGGACGAAGTTAAGAGGACGAAGGAGATCAGCACACCGTAATACAAGGAAACATATTGTACCGTCTGAAACACGGCCATATTCCGCACTGTTGCCTGGTGAAGATGCTGGAGAGGGGAAAGGGATAAAATGTGGATTATGGATTACTGAGCCTTCTGGATAAGATGTTTTGATATAAAATTCAATTTTTATGTGATCTGAAGATGAATTTTATTTCTTTGAAAGGCAGAATGACAGAGAGAAAGGGAGTGACAGAGACAAAAAGAGATCTTCCATCCCTAACAAGGGCTACAACGAAGCCAGGAGCCAGGACTCCATCTAGGTCTCCCATGAGTGGCAGGGACCAGTATTTCTGCCTCTTAAACACATAAAATCTTAAAAAAAAAAAAAAGTGTCCCGGCCATTTCTTTTCCTCTGCATCCTTCGTAGTAGCAGACTTTAACATGTAAGCAAGGGGCCTGCATTGTGGTGCAGTGGGTTAAGTCACTGCCTGTGACTCTGGCATTCCACATTGGAGTGTGGCTTTGAGATTCTACTTCTCTCCTTCCAATACAGCTCCCTGCTAATATGCTTGGGAAGACAGTGGAAAATAGCCCAAGCACTTGGGTCCCTGCAACCCACGTGGGAGATCAGGATGGAGTTCTGGGCTCCTGGCTTCAGCCGGCCTGGCCTGGTCCAGCCCAGGCTGTTGCAGCCATCTAGAGAGTGAACCTAGATGACAGATCTCTTTCTGTCTCTCCTTCTCTGTCACTCTGCCTTTCAAATAAATAAATCTAAAACAAAAAAATCTCAATGGGAGGAAAGGGATGGCAAGAGATAGGGTTCTGAATCAGAGGCTGAGTTATCCTATGTGTATGGCTACATTTACCAGTACCGCCTTGTGTCATTTGCCTGGAGTTCCGTGACTTTTTTTTTAAGCTTTATTTATTTGTTTGAAAGGCGGAGTTGGAAAGAGAGAGAGACAGAGAAGTCTTCCATCTGCTGATTCACTCCCCAGTTGGCTGCAGTGGCTGGGCTGCACTAACCTGAAGCTGCCAGGAACTTTTTCTGGGTCTTCCACATGGTTGCAGGGGCCCAAGTACTTGGGCCATCTTCTGCTGCTTTCCCAGGTGCATTAGTAGGGAGCTGGATCAGAAGAGGAGCAGCTGGGACTCAAACCAGTGCCCATATGAGATGCCAGCACTGCAGGTGGCGGCTTTGCTCTCTAGTCCACAGTGCCAGACCCAGTTTCATAACTTTTGTATATATGTGATCTGCCTGGAGTTTATCAATAGCTTTCATTTGAGAAACACTGCATAAAACAAGAATAATAAAATTACTACCACTGGGGTATAGCGGGTCAAGCCTCCTTTCTGTAGTGCTGGCATCCCATATGGGCGCTGGTTCCAGTCCCAGCTGCTCCTCTTCCGATCCAGCTCCCTGCTAACACGACTGGAAAGCAGTGGAAGACGACTCAAGTGTTTGCATCCATGCACACATATGGGAGACCAGGAAGAAGCTCTGGGCTCCTGGTTTTGGTCTGGACCCACCCTGGCTATTGCGGCCTTTTGGGAAATGAACCAGCAGATGGTTCTCTCTTCTCCTTCCCTCTCACCCTGTAACTCTGGCTTTCAAACAAAATAAATAAATCTTATGAAAAAAAAAAAAAGCACCACAAAGATATAAAAATACTTTTTGCTCATATGACAACACCCCAAGTAAGAAAATGACATCAATCCTAACTCTAAGAGACATATTCTTTTTCAATCACTAGTTTTTAGCTTAGGAAACTTTATTAAGAAGCTTCTAAGTTAGGCCACCAAAGTTACAACTGTATTGCTAAAAAAAAAAAAAGGACCTATAAAATCTAACCACACAAAACATCCCAAACCTATCAGATGTTTACCTTGAATATCTCTCTACATGGCTGCAAAGATCAAATGACATAATGCATGTGAAAATGCTGAAGTGCTATTTTGTGTGATGATACTCGTGATGACTAGCAAAAGTCAGATCACCTGATTTATGAGGGCTATAAAACAGGAATTTTTGAAAAGGCTTATTTTATACATACATATCATACAGAGAAACAAATGTTTGTGACAACACTGACCCAAATAATTTTCAAATATGCTACTTAGGTCTTTCAGGAAAAAAACTGTAGTAGCTGATCTGTAAATGTCTTTAAAATTAGCTATTTTAGTAATTTGTGGCTGGTGCTGTGGCATAACAAGTCAAACTGCCGCCTGCAATGACAGCATTTCATGTGGGTGCCGGTTCAAGTTCAACTCCCTACTAACGGCCTGGGAAAGCAGCAGATAACGGCCCAAGTCCTTTGGCCTCTGTACCCATGTGGGAGACCCGGATAAAACTCCTGGCTTCGGCCTGGTCTAGCCCTGACGGCTGTGGCCATTTAGGGAGTGAACCACAGGATGGAAGATTTCTCTGTCGCGCCCTCTCTCTCTCTAGCTTTGCTTTTCAGATAAAAAAATAAATCTACAAAAAAATTAGCTATTTTAGTAATTTAAATAAATTTACTTTCTTAGTTGTACTCTGTTATAAACTTCATATTTAAACTCTTTTTCTTTGATTAATCCAAGTGTTTTCTTTATATCTTAACAATTTTAGTGACTTTGGCTAAAAGAAACAAAGCCAAAGAATTGGAGCCATTCACAAGTTCATTGGTTAGAAATGGAAAAGCCATGATTTTCTTTCTCATGCAAGGACTTTTTTTTTTCTTGTTTTTTTTTTTATTGCGACAGGCAGAGTGGACAGTGAGAGAGAGAGACAGAGAGAAAGGTCTTCCTTTGCCGCTGGTTCACCCTCCAATGGCCGCCGCGGCCGGCGCGCTGCGGCCGGCGCACCGCGCTGATCCAATGGCAGGAGCCAGGAGCCAGGTGCCCTTCCTGGTCTCCCATGGGGTGCAGGGCCCAAGCACCTGGGCCATCCTCCACCGCACTCCCTGGCCACAGCAGAGGGCCGGCCTGGAAGAGGGGCAACCGGGACAGAATCCGGCGCCCCGACCGGGACTAGAACCCGGTGTGCCGGCGCCGCAAGGTGGAGGATTAGCCTAGTGAGCCGCGGCGCCGGCCTCATGCAAGGACTTTTCATTATGAAGATAAGGTTAATTTAGGTATTTCTGGCTTGGTAAATGACATCACTACAGCAGTGTATCTTGTTTTTCTTTATAACCTTCAAAAAGAGTCTCCAAATGGTTATTTTAAAAAGTCTGCTAATAACAAAAAGCAGGTATTGTAAAAAAGTGGAATTTTCTATCCTACACAGACTGCAATGCTGCTAGAACTGACAGCTTGTCACATTTAGACCCATCATTATGCACTGTCTCACACCACTGTTCACAAAGGGTCTTCAGAAAGTTCACTGGAAAATGAAAATTACGAAAAATCTCTGCATGGATTTCACACCAAAATAAACTTCTCTGTTAATTTCATTTTCCATGAAGTTTCTGAAGTACCTTCCTACATTCTATACCCAGTCCTATGTTACCTATCCAAGGAAATGGAAATCCCTAAACTGGTAATCACAGTCACCCTTCATCTGTAAAATCACAAGTGACCTAAATGCATATCAAAGCACTCAATGTTTCTGTATGTGAGGAAATCAAGAAAAACAGCAAATGAGCTACTTACTTTGCATCCCAACCCTCATTCTTAAGGTTTGTTCGCCCCATTCCTGAGGGTTTTTTTGATATCCCGAGCCTAGAGCAAATGCATATATCAAAATATCATTTCATATACTTTGAAAGTTAACATACTATATTCTTGTGTTATATATCTATCAGGAAGTCTAAATAAAGTAGGAGAGGAAAACAATGAAAGCAATAGTTTGAGAAGTAAAAGATAATTTCAAGGAAGTGTATCAGTAAGGATTGAATCACTTTTTATAACAAAACAGGTAGCAAAATAAATGCATCACCACCCAACAGAAAAAACTATGTGTAAGTCCTGTGCAGGGGTCTATGAGAATGACTTAGAGGAAAAGTTCACCACCACCTCTTGCCCAGAGCAATTACCACATGCAGTACCGATGTGTGTCAGAGAAGAAAAGCAAAGAGGGTAAGATGACTTAAAATTCCAACAGGATCTTTTGTTGGCAGCGTAACGTGGGGTTGGAACTGACCGCTTGAAGAGAGGGGCAGCCACTAACCACTTACTCAGCACTGCAGGCTGCTTGTCACGGGCTCTGACATCTCCACCTGAGGCAGGAGACAGGGGTAAGGTCAGAAACACTCGGAATAGAAACAAAAAATAGGCTATACAGACACTGCTCACTACTGCAGATACCAAACACATACAAAAAGTCAAACCCTTCTCTCACCAATCCCAAACATAAACACTAAATGTATGTATCCCCCTTCCTAAACTTTAAAATTACCAGGAAGTGGACAATAACAAGGACTCAGTTTTAGGATCATTACCATCAAAATAATGACAATGTGTTATATGTTTACCAGGTGTCAAATGTAAATTTACTTAGTTCCTATGCTTTATGTGTGGTAGATACTATCATTATCTTTTTTACAAACTCATAATTTTATCAAGGACATGTAGTATCTGAAAGTAGTTGAGATACATGTCCAGGCAGTCCATACTAAATATCGTGCCATACAGAACATTATGTTAAATATATGTAAATTTGTGGACATTACAAAGTAGCTATGCAGAAATGTTATTTCAAGTTCTTTAATGGTATTTAAGGATAATGCTAAAATGGTACAATGGAATAATTAGAAAATAGCATTTAAAAATTACAAAAAAGTAGATGTTCAAATTATCTTTAGGCCGGCGCCGCGGCTCACTAGGCTAATCCTCCGCCTAGCGGCGCCGGCACACTGGGTTCTAGTCCCGGTCGGGGCGCCAGATTCTGTCCCGGTTGCCCCTCTTCCAGGCCAGCCCTCTGCTGTGGCCAGGGAGTGCAGTGGAGGATGGCCCAGGTGCTTGGGCCCTGCACCCCATGGGAGACCAGGAAAAGCACCTGGCTCCTGGCTCCTGCCACCGGATCAGCGCGATGCGCCGGATGCAGCGCACCGGACGCGGCGGCCATTGGAGGGTGAACCAACGGCAAAGGAAGACCTTTCTCTCTGTCTCTCTCTCTCACTGTCCACTCTGCCTGTCAAAAAATAAAAAAAAATTAAAAAATAAAAAAAAAATTATCTTTGAAGAATAAGTTATTTTTACCCACTGATGATAAAGTATCAACGGAAATTTATTTTCAAATTTATTTTTTCTGAATTCAAATGAAATACATGCTAGCTATAAAAAGGTACCATTCTAGGAATGCATAACATAAAATTCATGAATGTTTGTTAAGTACCTACTATGTTCAAAACACTAAGTGTTAGGGATACCATGATATTAAAATATGTATTTTTGGGGGGCTGGTGCTGTGGTGCAGCGGGTTGAGGCCCTGGCCTGAAGTGCCAGCATCCCATGTGGGTGCTAATTCTAGTCCCGCTGCTCTACTTCTGATCTGGCTCTCTGCTGTGGCCTGGGAAAGCAGCAGAGGATGGCCCAAGTCCTTGGGTCCCTGCACCCATGTGGGAGATGCAGAAGTTCCTGGCTCCTGGCTTCGGATTGGTGCAGCTCTGGCCGTTGTGGCCATCTGGGGAATGAACCAGTGGATGGAAGACCTCTCTCTCTTTGCCTCTCCTCTCTCTGTGTAACTCTGACTTTCAAATAATAAATAAATCTTTGAAAAAAAAATAAGTAACTCATATTGTAGGACTTGATTTAAAAACGTAATGCCAAAAAAATCCTAAAAGTATTATTTTGCTTAACCTAAGAAACATACATCTACTGTAGATAATTTCAAAATACCAAAAATAATAAACTAAAACAAAAAATGTCACTAATGATTTTATTATCCTGAACAAATCACTGCTGGCACTCAGTACATTTCTTCCCAATCACTTTAAACTTTTTATGTATTTGTTTACTCGACAGGCAGAGACAGAAGTCTCAGCAAAGTTGTAAGACTTTTGTAATGAATACTCACATGCCTACCACTTGGTTTACCATCCATTTTTTTACTACATATGCTTTATGATTTATTCATTCTTGCACACTTTTTCAAGAGTTACAATCACATATACAAAACATTTTATAACTACTAGAGTATGCCTATATAGGTAGGCTCAAACCACTACACTAGCCAATCTAAAAGCAATCATACATTTATAGTGCAAAGACACTGAACAAATCACAGAAAACGGTCTTGTTTTGTAAATGGAAACTAAGGTTTGTAATATAAAATAACTCAAGAAACAAATTAGAGAGGTAGGGAGATAATAAACAAGGTTGTGCATGTACAAATTTCACTTATATTAAATTGCAAAAGAGGATCTTCAAAAATAGAAACAGAAGAGGCTGGTATTGTGGCACAGTAGGTTAAGTGCCTGCCACATGGGAATGCCGATTTGAGTCACGCCTGCTCTGCTTCAGATCCAGTTCCCTGCTAATGGGCCTGGGAAAGTGGCAGCTGATGGCCTAAGCACCTAGACCCCTGCCACCCACGTGGGACAACTGGATGTGGTTTGGGCTCCTGGCTTCGATCGGCAATACTGCAGTCATCGGGGGAAGAAACCAGCAGATAGAAGATCATTTGCTGAATTTCTCTCTCTTTCCTTCCATCTCTCTCATTCTGCCTGTCAAATGAATAAATCAATCTAAAAACAAACAAACAAAAAAACCCACCCCAGAAGCAGGCATTTGGCTTAACAGTTTAGACACAGGTTAAGATGCTTGTAATCCCATTTCCAAGTGCCTGGGTCTGAGTCCTGGCTCTGTTTCAAGACCAGTGATGGGACTCTTGCCTGGCTCTTGAATGAAGTAAAGGAAGTAAAACTCTGAGAAAGTGAGAGCAGTGCTTGACCAGGCCTATGGATACTCCGGTTAACACGTCTGTACGTACTTTGTGGTGACTGCCAAAATGATTCTGGATGATGACCAGATGATCTGGTGGTGTGATCTAAAAACAAACAAAACATGTACTATAAATCATGACTTTAAAAATGCACATTTTATAAGAGAACAATGAATATTTAGTCAAAAGAGCAAAAACAGATAAATCCTAGGGAATCTACTTCAGCACATAATTTACCAAAAAACAGTGATTTTTAAAGAACCATATTTTATCTAAAAATCAATTATATCTTGCCTTTTTTAAGATTTTATTTGAAACGTTGAGTTATAGAAAAGAGAGAGAGAGAGATCTTCTATCTGCTGGTTCATTCCCCAAATGGCCACACCAGCCAGGACTGGGCCATGCTGAAGCCAGGAGCTTTATCTGGTCTCCCACATGGGTGCAGCGGCCCAAAGACTTGAGCCATCCTCCACTGCTTTCCCAGTGCATCAGTGTAGCAGCTGGGCCTTAAACCAGCACTCACTGAGATGCCAGTGCCATAGGCAGCAGTTTAATCCCACAGCGCCATACTGCCAGCCCCCTAACTTCTTCATTTAAAACAGTTTTATTTATTTACTTTATTTATTTGAAAGGCAGAGAGCCAGAGAGAGACAGAAAGATCTCCCACTGCCATTCAACTCTTCAAATGTCTGCAAAAGTTGGGACTAGAGCAGGCCAAAGCCACGAGCCAGGAACAAGATCTGGGTCTTCCAATGAGCGGCAGTGACACAACCGTTCAAGTCTTTAGGTGCTGCCTCCCAGGATGTGCGTTAGAAGGAAGCTGCAATTGGTAGCAGAGCGGGGACGTGAACCCAGGGATGCGGATGTGGGAGTAGGAATCTCTAATAGCATCCTAACACTGCGCCAGCCACCAACCCTCCTCCAACTATTCTGTCAAGAAAACCTGTAAGATACGGAACATGGGCATGAGCTAAGGAAATAATGAAATACTTGAGTTGGGGATAGTTTTTCAAAGTGTATAACAATAGGTCTTCTTGAAACCATTAATACCCATTTTTGCCTTAAAATTTTTTTCTCTCAAGTAGGTAATACATTATGTGCTTTAGTCTACTCTTCTTAAAAACATTTTTTTGGGGGACTGGCATTGTGGTAAAAGGAGTTAAGACTTCCCAAATGAGCACTGGGTTGAGTCCTGACTGCTCCACTTCCAATTTGGCTCCCTGCTAATACATCTGGGAAAGCACTGCAAAATGGCCCAAGTGCTTGGGCCCCTGCACCCATGTGGGAGACCTGGATGAAGCTCCTGGCTCCTGATTCCTGGCTTCGGTGTGGTGTGTTCTAGCCCAGCCACTGTGGCCATCTGAGGAGTGAACCAGAAGATGGAGATCTGTCTCTGTAACTCTTTCAAATAAATAAATAAATCTTAAAAAATAAAAACAAAAAAACCAAAAAAATTTTTTCCATATAAAATAATTTAAAATTACATTTGTTTAGAAGTGATGAGACTGTTGTTTTGGAAACCGCATTTGACACATAAAGTATGGTGGCTAAAACTTTTTGACAATGCATTTATTTCTATTGCTAAAACATTTTTGGGGAGCACTTGGTTCGGGGGTTAGGCAGCACTTGGATGCCTGGGTCCCGTACATGAATTCCTGGGTTTGCGTCCCAGCTCTGCTGCAGCGCACCTTGCTAACGCACATCCTGGTGATGGCCCAGGTACTTGGGTCCCCGTCACCCACTTGGGAGACCTGGATTGGGTTCCAGCTCCTGGCTTGGGCTTAGCCCAGCCCTAGCTGTTGCCAGAATTTGAGGAACTATCTCTGTCTCTATGCAGTGAAAATATAGAAAGCTAAAAAGCATTTTTTGATCATCAATCCCTGAAGCATTTTTCTAGCAATACTATATATATATATACACATATATACATACACACACACATATATATGCACTTAGAAATAATGTATTAACTAATGTGTTATGTGTATGTATATTGTAAAACAAAAATATACATGTAAAATGAATGAAATAAAAAATAAGTGCATATGAAATTTGGACACTTTCTTTCTACATTCCTATGGATTGTCTTATATCTCTTTAGTGAAGACTGGCCCAGAACAAACCTAGGAAACTAGCATTCTTCTTAATATTTCTCAATATTTTGTTCTTGAGCTAGAGTTTTCTTTTGCATTTGGGTATGTATGCTTCAAAAGGGCACAAGGACTTACTAGAATTCTAAAAAGACACAGGACCTGGGATTTATGTAGTTCCAAATAGCTATATGCTGGCAGCAATGGTAGCTAATTCTTGGCTACATGAATAGTTTACTTGGTATCTAACTTTTTAGAGCTTTAGGTACACATATATGAAACTAATGACAGCACTTAATTTGAGTGTCTACCATGTGCCAGACTTTCTAAAGGCTTTGGATACAAGAGATAATTTAACCTTCACAATGACCCAGATGGGAGACTGAGGAACGTGGAAGACAGGCAGTTATCTGAGGGTGTGCACCTGGCAAGCGGGGCACTGGGACCCAGTGTGTGGCTCCAGAGTTCTTAGTCATGCTCAGGTGCTGCATTTCTCCTTGTCAGGATTTCATATCCGCAAAGAAGGGGGAAAGGATGGGTGGGACGTGCTCAGATACCAAATGCCCATAAACCAGCGTCTGGGCTTATTCTGAGAGTGGAATAATGAAGTACACTCAGGAATTCCAGGAAGGCTCAAGGGATGGGGAGGGGGCAGGGAAGAGTTACTTTTCCACAGGACTAAAACATAAAGTTACTCATTTGGCACTGCCTAAAACCTCCATTACAACGTGGTGCCTGGCGGATGTTCGAGGGCGTGTCTGCAGCTGCTGCGGTTAAGCCACGTAAGATTGGACCACCGGCAGGGATAGGTCTGCTTTGGTCCTGGACACGTGCACAGTGCGTGATCCCTATACTTTGCTTAAGGTGCCCCTGTGCGTGGTCCACCCACGCCTGCGTGACCTTTTCGCTGATGGGCTCCCCTGCTGCGCATGTCCTTCGTAAGCTTTATAAGCCTGCACACTTCCTCAATAAAGAAGTTGCTGCTTTGACAGAATTCACAGGTGCTTGCTGTGTTCTTCACCCGTCGACCTTACTCTTCCCATTCACCTTGTCGGGGAGTGCTTGTATTGTTCCCTGCTGGTCAGGGGCCAGCCTCAGGCTTAAGACCCCAACAGTTACTCATTATGGGGTTTATAAATTGTCCAGAGGGGCCAGCACTGTGGCGTAGTGGGTATAGCTGCCGCTCGCAGTGCCAGCACCCCATTTGGGCGCCAGTTCTTGTCCTGGCTGCTCCACTTCCGATCCAGCTCTCTGCTGTGGCCTGGGAAGGCAGTGGAAGATGGCCCAAGTCCTTGGGCCCCTGCACCCGCGTGGGAGACCCGGAAGAAGCTCCTGGCTCCTGGCTTTGGATCAGTGCAGCTCTGGCCGTTTGTGGCCAATTGGGGAGTGAACCAGCAGATGGAAGACCTCTTTTTCTCTCTCTCTCTGCCTCTCCTTCTCTAACTCTTCCAAATAAATAAATAAATCTTTAAAAAAAATTGCCCAGAATGCTCTTAAGCCCCAAATAGGCATTTTTTTTCAAAGATTAATGTCCTTATTTGAAGGGCAGAATTACAGAGAAAGAGGGAGAGATGGAGACACACACACATAGAGATTTTTTTCCACTGATTTATTTCCCAAAATGGCTACAATAGCTAGGACTGGGCCAGTCCAGGCCTGGAACTCCATCCAGATCTCCCATGTAATTGGGGCATCTTGTACTACTTTCCCAGGCATATTAGCAGGAGGCTGGATCAGAAGTGGAGCAGCTGGGACTCACACAGGTGCACATATGGGATGCCTGTGTCACAGGTGGTAGTTTAACCCACTCTGCCACAATGCCAGCCCCCAAATTAGTATGTTTTTCTCTGAGACATCACATTGCCTACTCGAGCACTGGTTGGAGTGCTGGCTACTCTGCTTCTGATCCAGCTTCCTGCTAATGCATCTGGGAAGGCAGCTGATGACGGCCTAAATGCTTGTGTTCTGCCACCCATGTTGCTGTACCTGAGCGAGTGCAAACAAAGGAGCAGCACACACTGATACAATCTGATGGTCCTTTATTGCCGGTGGTGGAGAGTGGGCTCGTGCCCCAGAGCTCTTAACCCCAAGGCCCAAAGCAACAGGGTTTATAAAGGCAGAAAACCACAAAATCGGGAGGAATACATGGTTACTGGGGTCAAGCTGACCTAAAGCCTATGAGAAACTAATATCAATTATACTCTTAACAATTTCAACTATAATCTTGACATTAATCCAGCTCTCGGCTTAAATCCTATGTAGGACATAGATAAATTACATTTTTATCATTAACCCAGGTGCAGCCTATCTGCTTCCAAGCTTGAGCGATCATGCTAGGGGGTTTCTATGCTTTGCCAAGTGTGACGTAGTAGACTGCTATTGTCTGACTGTTTTAGATCACAGTTTCAGACCAGAGACTCAGGGGGGGAGAGGGAAGGTGCTTTCCCAGAATGGAGTCTCAGGTGCTCCAAAATGGAGTTCCTACTGTCAAGGTGTTATTTCAATGTGCGAGGGCCAGATGGGTTCCAGACTCTTGGCTTCAGCCTGGCCAGGGCTGGCTGTTGTTGGCATCTGGGGAGTGACCCAACAGATGGAAGGTCAGTCTCTCTCTGTAAAAGTGTAACTCTGCCTTTCAAATAAATCTTAAAAGAAAGAACTTCCTAAAAATAAGTAACAATTCTGATAGTGTGATGAGTCTCACTTGCAATATGATCAGTTTCTCTACAAAATTAAAACATGCAACTCTTCTTTGGAGAATACAAATATCTAATATTCCCTAAATATCAAAGTAGGTGAAAAGTGTTTTCTTTCTTTAGATAGTACATGACATCTCATGGTCTGTTTAGTTATTATTCAGCCATGTGAAACAGACAAGGAATGACTTTGATAATCAAAAGCAAAGTTTGTACGTTTTTAACAATTTTTTTGTTTGAGAGACACCCAGAGAGGGGGGTGTTCCCTACCTGCTGGCTCATTGCCAAAGTGCCTGCAATGGTTACAGGCTAGCCAGGAGCCAGGAACTCAAACACATGCAAGGCAGGAGCCCAATTCCTGAGCCATCACTGCTGCCTCCCAGGTTCTGCACTGGCAGGAAATCAGGATCAGGATCTGGAGTCGGATTAACCCAGGCATTCTGATACGGGATGCAGGAATCTTAACTGCTAGCCCAAATGCCTATCCTTAACAAATTAGTTAAAAAACAAAAACAAAAACAAAAACCTGGAAGTATTTTTCTGAAAAAGAAAATTCAAAGAGTACCTTTCTATTTTACCTAAAGGTTAGCTCCTATGAGAAGAGTCATACATACAGAAAGCAGTATTACCTCCTGAGTCAACAGAATCCCTGGATCCGACCTTGACAGTGGTGACATCGCTGAAAGAGCTCTCCTGATCGTCATCTTCAGTTTCTCCTACAGAGAAGCCAACAATATATCACGGTAGTCGTTATTCTAGTGCTCAAAAGATTGGAATTAAACAAGCAATTCAACAAAATGAAGACGTTTAGAAGATCAGCTAGAGAACTGCTGCTTATTTACTATGCTCGCTATTTTGAATCACAAAGTCCTAAATGAGTTAAAAGTAGCTCGACTGTTCTGTGTTCTCTGGGGCACATGACTACCTCCTCAACAAATACTCAGAGTTGTAGCTAACGGACCATCAGGGATTTAATACAGAGTAAAACTGCACACATGAGCATTCAACAGTGCAACAATTCTACTCCATGGGGAGGGGAACCACCTGGTAACTAAATCTAGACCAGAGCAGCGGGGACTGTATGTGTGCTGCTAAATGTGTACTTTGGGGAGGGTAGTGTACACACACACACACACACACAAACATTTCAGTATGGAGGTGACTAATCTCGGATTGTACAGGCTCAACAGTGGACTAAAATCTACTCTTGTACTTTTCAAACATAGACTGGTTATAAAAATTTGGAAAAGTTCTCATTTTAATACCACAATCAAAGGACATCACATGTCCCAAACAAAAAACACCAGCTTTGTTAAACTGAACTCAGATAAAAGCTTAAAATTCACAAAGGCTGTCCTTCAGTCTACCTGCTATATTCTGTTTTAATCGTTCAGGTAAGTATAAACTTTTTTTTGAAGCAAAAGATACTATTTTCTGCTCTCACTTCCTATGTACCTACCAAAATAGCTTCTTACACAAAGAAAAATACTTATAATATACTGCATGATACTTAAAAAGAAATACCTTCTTCAGAGAAATTGACCTTTGGTTGGATAATGGTGGCTTCTAGAAGAGAAAAACAAACATGTTGTATAAAACATCAAAAGTTAAAGCTTATTTATGAATGAGTAACTTTTCTATTAAATAATAGTAACTTATTTATTTATAAATAAGAGAAACTAATTTATGAAAATGAACACCAAGACACAGTAAATAAACTCTATTAAATCATGAAGAATCTATCTACTTCCTTCTATCTCAAAAATAAGCCCAACACAAACTAGAATCACAAGTAAAGTGTTCACTTTCCCATCAGTCGCACGTCTGTGCGTGCAGTGACACATACTCCATCCCCTGGCGCTGGCATTCTCACTCTACTTGCCAGGCTGCCCACACTCAGTGCGAAGCCTGACTCACCCTGCTGAACTGACAGATCAGTTCTCTAGTGCACTGTGCAGCCAGAGAGGAAGTCAGGTCAGACACCCTCTCTAGTTCCAGTAGGCCCGTACACATCACTGTTTCTCAGGGCAACTGACAATTTGAACAAAGATAAACGAGCAGAAAACGTCAACTCTTAAATGCAGTATGTTTACTCGGGTTTTGCTAACCCCAACCCCTTTAACATAAAATAAAGGGCGATATGCCAAAACGCGAGCATTGCGTAACTACACTGAAACATTGCTGAGTGATCAAACGGGGACAAGTCTATGGTCCAGACTGCTCCAAAAAGCTGAGGATGTCTCTTTTCAGCTTCCATCTCTACTTAGTTTTAACTTCTATTTGCTCTTTAAAAGGGGGCATAAGTTGTCAGTACCACAACGGAGCAACCCACGCCAAACAGAGTGACTGGGAGGCTGTGTGAGCGCGTGCTGAGATCACAAAGCCTATCTGCACGTGCAAACACTCCAGGTAAGGGGTGGCACTGTGGCGCAGCAGGGCAAGCCGCCACTGTGACACTGGCGCACCATACTGGAGTCAGGGCTCAAGTCCTGGCCACCCTGCTTCCAATCCAAGCTAATCTGCCAGCGCTCCGGGGAAACAGCAGACAATGGCGCCAGTGCGTCGGTCCCGTCCCTGCTCTCTTGGATGGAGTTACTGGTTTCCGGCTTCAGCCTAGCCCAGGCCTGGCTGCGGTGGTCATTTGGGGGAGTGAATCAGTGGATGAAAAAGCTCTCTGTAATCCCTGTCACTCTGCCTTTCAGATTAAAAAAAAAAAAAAATCCTTAAAAATTTCTGAGTCATTTCTATGAAGATATCTCAGTCTTACAAATGAGTAATCACCAACTCCTGCAATGAGTTCCTGTAGCCAGTGAGGTTTATTTCAACACAACCCTGTGGACTTCCCCTTGCCCAGCCCTCTCCGGTGTGCCTTTGCAACACTACAGCACATACAACCCAGACTGCAATCCCCCACTATTCCCAAATAAACTCTTTGTTTCAGTATCATTGTGATAATGCTTCAGTTTTATATCATTCATTTCTTTACTAATATAGCATGCAAACAGAAGCTTTAAAAAAGTCAGTCATCATCTTACTAAGTCCAAAATACAACTTTGTAGATGCTAGTTTTCAAAAACATCTTCATGTAAGTTATCTGATTCCATTTGGGGGGGGGGGGGTGTGAACCAACGGAAGGAAGACCCTTCTCTCTGTCTCTCCCTCACTGTCTAACTCTGCCTGTCAAAAAAAAAAAAAAAAAAAGTTATCTGATATCCTTAACATCATTGAGGAAATTTTGCAGGACCAGCGATGTGGCACAGTGGGTTAAACTGCTGCATGCAATGCTGGCAGCCATATGGGCGCCAGTTCAAGTCCTAGGTGCTCCACTTCTGATCTAGCTCCCCACTAATGTGCCTAGGAAAGAAGCAGAGAACAGCCCACGAGCTTGGGCCCCTGCACCCATGTAGGAGACCCAGAAGAGGCTCCTGGCTCCTGGCTTCAGCCTGGCACAGCTCCAGCTGTTGCAGTCATTTGGGGAGTGAACCAGCAGATCTCTCTCTCTATCTCTCTCTCTAACTTGGCCTTTTAAATAAAAATAAAAAGATGAAAATTTCCAAAAGTAACCATTTCATTCATTTTCATGATTTTAACCTAAGCTGCAAACAACATATACATAAATATTTAAACACAATCTGATGAAGAATCATAGCCATCTATGACTACAATTTCATTTCCTTCTCATTACTCAGCTTCCTTTATTTTAAAACTGGTGGCTATGTGTAGAAGGTTAACGCACTTAAAATTTTTTTTTAAAAAAAGGTATTACTCTTCCCTGTGCTCATGCAGAAGCTTTGAGAAATTAAAATCTTATTTGGGGCAAAAACATCCCCAACAACAAGTTACTTTCAGAGATTACAAAGGCTGTGGCTCTAATAAATACACGGATAAATGACAATAAACTACGCTGTTAAGGAGGAGCAGTTACTTTTCCAACAACCCCAACCAAATTGACCTTTATGTTTAAGAATAAATCACCTGCAGTCAATTACTTTCTTTGGTAGAAGCCAACTTCTTTCTGTTCACTTTTTTTGTGTGGCCACGTTATTTTTTTATTTAAAGGAAAATACCAAATTCCAGCTATATCCCAGCCTCTGAGACCCAGAAAATTACTTGGATATTTTGAAAGCATCTACAGTTCCGCTACAGCTCTTACTATTTCCAGGGACACACGGGATGCACCTGGAGTGAGGAGTGATGGTACTCAAGAAAATACAATAAATGGGACTCAAGGAAACAAAACCTGTGTTTTGTCTGGGGCAAAGCTAAGAAAATACCAGAAGTTCGGTTGCTGTGATTCATCAAGAGAAAACTAGACAGAAGACAAGAGTTTTATTTCCTTTCTTGTTCTGCTGTCAACATGAGCTAGTAGGAATGGTGTAATAAATAGGCATCCAGGAAAGTATAGTAACAACTGTATTTACTCTCAGAATAACCAAGTGCAATTTAGGTGATTTGAAAGCTTTAGTCCTGCCATTGATACAAATCAAAGGTTGGCAAACTGATTCCATAAAGGGTCAAACAGTAAATATTCTGAATTTTGTAATCCACATACAGTGTCTGTCGTAAGTATTTTTTCTGAAAATGTAATAATCCTTAGTTCACAGACTATACAAAACAGATCGTGGGGAGATTTTTACCCTGAGAACATGGTTTCCTGATTCCTGGTACAGACACCTTGAAGACTGTTCGTGGTCAATCATACTACAGGCTGAGTACCCCTCATCTGAAATGCTTGGGATCAGGTGCGTTTTAGATTTGGGGTTTATTTGGATTTTGGAGTATTTGCACATCCATAAGGACATATGTTGGGCATGAGACTCAAGACTATCATGAAATTCACTTATATTTCATGTACAACCGTTACACACGCAGTCTGAAACTAATTTTCTATAACAAAAGAACTCTGAGCATGAAACAGTCTCAGGTCACAGAACTGTCCACTTGTGTCTTGTCAATGCTCAAAAACTTTTGGATTTGGAACATTCCGATTATTTGGAATAGGGAAGCTCAGTCTATATTGAGAACAGAGTCATCGTGAGGCCACGTGAAGGAGAGATTAAAGTCTGAGGATATCACTAGTATTCAAACCCCATGAATGGTCATTTCATACTTCAAAATGTACTACTAATATCACTATACAAGTAATATCAATCTCACAGAAAACTACTTTAAAATGGAAAGCACTTTTAAATAGTTTGTATTATACATCATTTATAAAAATGATTTCTAATCTTGCATACAAAGGAAAAGTGTTGCATTATTTCAACTCCAAGTTCTTTTCCAACTAAGAATGTATGGCTTAAAACACTGAGTTTTTAAACAGTACCCTTGGGAAACTGGTGGGTTAAAGTACACACGGGCAACTGCACACTGCGAGGATCATTTTCAGTACCCATATACTACAAATCCTTAATCTCTAAAGAAATCAGCCTGAGCTTAAGCAAAAGATGAATTTAATAGAGGAAGTTGCAACTACTTATAAAGAAAAATGACAGTTTCCTCTTTTTGCCTCATCTACAAGTTTAGAAAAGGAAATTTAAAACTAAGTTCAACCACATTTAATGTGGGTCCACTTAAAGCCAAGATCTTGGCATTCTATGTCCTACACCAAGACAAATGCTGAAAAAATTTTAATCCAGATCAACACACATGGCAAAAGACACTAATTTTTATTGAAAATATCTCAATATAGGTTCTAAATTAAGGAGAAAAATCTTAATTATTAAATCATTATCTTTTTCTTGACAATGTGAATTTAACAAATGCTAATAAAATGACCCTATATGTAAGGAAATTAAAAAGACTCCATTGGCTGGCGCCGCAGCTCACTAGGCTAATCCTCTGCCTTGCGGCGCCGGCACACCAGGTTCTAGTCCCAGTCAGGGCACCGGATTCTGTCCCGGTTGCCCCTCTTCCAGGCCAGCTCTCTGCTGTGGCCCGGGAAGGCAGTGGAGGATGGCCCAAGTGCTTGGGCCCTGCACCCCATGGGAGACCAGGAGAAGCACCTGGCTCCTGCCTTTGGATCAGCACGGTGCGCTGGCCGCAGCGTTCTGGCCGCGGTGGCCATTGGAGGGTGAACCAACGGCAAAGGAAGACCTTTCTCTCTGTCTCTTTCTCTCACTGTCCACTCTGCCTGTCAAAAAAAAAAAAAAAGACTCCATTGAGAGACTACTGGAACTCATGAGAGTTTTGTAAAGTTGTAGGATATAAATATCAACACACAAACATCAATAGCCTGTGTATACACAAACAATGCCATTGCTGAGAAAGAGGAGGCAAGATCAGTCCCATTCACAGTAACTACAAAAGGAAAAAAAAATTCAAATACCTTGGAATCAGTTTAACCAAGGATATAAAAGATCTCTACAATGAAAATTACAAAATTTTTTTTTTTTTTGACAGGCAGAGTGGACAGTGAGAGAAAGAGAGACAGAGACAAAGGTCTTCCTTTGCCGTTGGTTCACCCTCCAATGGCCGCCATGGCCGGTGCGCTGCAGCCAGCACACTGCGCTGATCAGATGGCAGGAGCCAGGTGCTTCTCCTGGTCTCCCATGGGGTGCAGGGCCCAAGCACTTGGGCCATCCTCCACTGCACTCCCGGGCCACAGCAGAGAGCTGGCCTGGAAGAGGGGCAACCGGGACAGAATCCGGCGCCCCGACTGGGACTAGAACCTGGTGTGCTGGTGCCGCAGGTGGAGGATTAGCCTATTGAGCCGCGGCGCCGGCCGAAAATTACAAAATATTAAAGAAAGAAATAGAAGATCACACACACACAGAGAAAAATCTTCCGTTTGTGGATTGGAAGAATTAATATCACCAAATTGTCCATACAACCAAAAGCAATTTACAGATTCAATGCCATCCAAATCAAAATACAAAGGACATTCTTTTCAGATTTAGAAAAAAATGATGCTAAAGTTCACATGGAAACACAAGAGATCCCAAATACCTAAAGCAAAGACAGAGGTATCACAATCAGATTTCAAGACACAGTATGGGGGCCGGCACCGTGGCTCAATAGGCTAATCCTCCGCCTTGTGGCGCCGGCACACCAGGTTCTAGTCCCGGTCAGGGCACCAGATTCTGTCCCGGTTGCCCCTCTTCCAGGCCAGCTCTCTACTGTGGCCAGGGAGTGCAGTGGAGGATGGCCCAAGTGCTTGGGCCCTGCACCCGCATGGGAGACCAGGAGAAGCACCTCACTCCCGGCTTCGGATCAGCGTGGTGCGCCGGCTGCAGCGGCTATTGGAGGGTGAACCAACGGCAAAGGAAGACCTTTCTTTCTCTCTCTCTCTCACTGTCACTCTGCCTGTCAAAAATAGAAAATAAATAAATAAAAGACACAGTATGGGGGCTGGCCCGGTGGCTCAGTAGGTTAATCCCCCGCCTGCGGCGCCGTCATCCTATATGGGTGCTGGTTCTAGTCCCAGCTGCTCCTCTTTTGATCCAGCTCTCTGCTATGGCCCAGGAGGGCAGTGGAGGATGGCCCAAGTGCTTGGGCCTAGGCACCCGCATGGGTATCCCAGAAGAAGTTCCTGGCTCCTGGCTTCGGATCAGCTCAGCTCCAGTCGTTGCGGCCATCTGGTGAGTAAACCAGCAGGTGGAAGACCTTTTTCTCTGTCCCTCCCTTTCACTGTCTGTAATTCTACCTCTCAAATAAATAAATAAATAAGATCTAAAAAAAGAAAAAAAAGAACATACTACAGTGCAGTTATAATCAAAACAGCTTGTTACACAAAAATAGACATGTAGACCACTGGAACAGAACAGAAGCCCTAGAAATTAATCCACACAGCTACAACCAACCAATCTTTGACAAACAAGCTAAAATCAATCCCTGGAGAAAGGACAGTCTCTTCAACAAATGGTGCTGGGAAAATTGCATCTATGCGTGCAGAAGTATGAAACAAGACCCTAACTCTTACACCTTATATAAAAATCAACTCAGAATGGATCAAGGATCTAAATCTACAACCTGATACCACCAAGTTACTAGAGGACAACATTGGGGAAACCCTGCAAGACACTGGCATAGGAAAAGACCCAGACGCACAGGCAATAAAAGCAAAAATAGACAAATGGGTTTACATCAAGTTAAGAAGCTTTTGCAGTGCCAAAGAAACACTCAACAATGTGAAGAGGCAACCGACAGAATGGGAGAAAATATTTGCAAACTATGTAACTAATAAAGGACTAATATCCAGTATATATAAAGAGCTCAAGAAACTCAACAACAACAAAACAAATAATTCATTTAAGAAACGGCAAAGGACATGAACAGGCATTTTTCAAAGGATGAAATTCAAATGGCCAACAGATAAATGAAAAGATGCTCAGGATCACTAGTCATCAGGGAAATGCAAATAAAAAACTCAATGAGGTTTCATCACACCCCAGTTAGAATGGCTAACATCCAAAAATCAAAAAACAGCAAATGCTGGTGAGGTTGTGGGGTAAGAGGTACTCTAATACTCTGTTGGTAGAAATGTAAACTAGTACAACCATATGGAAAACAGAATAGAGATTCCCCAGAAATCTGCAAATGGATGCCCTCCTCATCCTACTCCTGACTGAGAACTTACCCAAATGGAATGAAATCAGCACATGAAAGAGCTATCTGTAACCCCAGAAAACTGCAGCTGAATTCACAATAGCTAAGACATGGAAGCAACTCAGATGTCCATCAACTGGTGACTGGACAAAGAAAATGTGGTATAATACACATACACTATGGAATTCTACTCAGCCGTAAATAAATGAAATCAAATGAAATCCTCGCTTTTCCAACAAAACAGATGCAACTGGAAACTATCACACTTATTCAAACAAATCAGTCCCAGAAAGACAAGACCAATATCATATGTTTTCTCTGGCATATGGCAGTTAATACAGAATATAAAAAGATGCATAGGGACCAGCCAGACCTCTTGTAATATGATTGCTGTTTTTAGCCCTTGTATGCACTCCTGTGGAACTGTGTGATATCTTCCTACCTTTCACTTGTTGAATATCATGTTAGTGGCAAACTGAGCCCGTGATTACAGAGATTGAAAACACGTCTTTGAAAAAATTAAAGAAAAAAAGGAAGAAAGGAGGGGGACTGAGAGAGGGAGTGGGGGGAAGGGAATTTTGGTTATCATCTCAGAACTGTGCCTATGAAATATGTGAAATCTATTCTCTTTATATTAATCAAAACTAAGTTCATTTGTTACCATACTCTTGTATAAATTTAAATAAGATAATTACAGACAGAACAAAAAGCAAGGGTAGTAAGGTCAGAAGGACAGTACCTACAAGCTGAGATAATGAATGAAGTAACATTCTAAAGCCAGTGCCCAAACGTGTACTCTTGCATTCTACTGATAATCAGAACTCTCAAAAACAACCTGTACGAGTTAAAAGATAAACGAACCTAATTCACTCATTTTAGTATTTCCATTTGTTTTGTTTGCTGAATCTGCAAGAGAGAACAAGGAAAGGATTAGAATGGTACAGGAAATGCATCATATGGTTCTTGACCACAGCTTCAGCATCAAAACCTTACCAGATTTTATCATTACAGCATTTAAAAGGAGTCAACCATCTACTGGAAAAAACAATGTAATTCTTAAAGAGAAGGCTGAGAAGCAACAGAAACGTAACATAAAGTTTCCTTTTTAGTGCTCATGATAAAGCATCCAATAAACACAGAAAACTAAGTAGAAGTAGATTTATCTGAGTGATCTTAATACTTTTCTTTCAGAGCCATGAACCCATTATATATTGCAAATATATTTTGTAAAGTTTTAGTCAAAAAGAAATGTAACAGGCAGGGAAAGTCTGCAGCTCTTAGCCACAAAGCCTCAGTCTTGTTACCAACAAATAACCACATCAACATATAAGAAATAAACATTGAAAAAGAACAAAGGAAGTCTTCTTCATACTGGTATGAATCTCCTGACATATGCTAAATAAAAATAGAATCAAGAAGGTGCAGAAAAGAGTACTCAACAGACCTACATCTGTGTTTAAAAAGGGAGAAAAAAGATTATTTATAAGTGAATTTCCTTAAATCTCCATTTTGAGTTTTGAATACGTGTAGTCCTCTACATTTGTAGAAAAGTTTTAACAGTCAAAGCGATCTCTTACCAGATCGTGGGCTTCTCAGAGGGGGTCTACAGAGGCTGATTACAGGATCTTCACTCAACACTAATACAGGAAGAGAACACATTTAAAAGTAAGTAAAATGTGAAACACACTAGATTGATTATGCAATCATTCCCATATTTATGTATCAAAAGCCTATGCAGCTTTCTAGAAAACCAGAGACAGGCTTCTTCGCTAAGAGACAGCCTCTTGCAAACTAGTGACAACAGTAAACCAGAGACAAGCTTCCTGCCATATGAAATTTATGATCAGGGAGGGTACTGGGGCACAGTGGGCTAAGCTGCTACTTGGGACGTCTGCATATTATATCAGAATGCCTGGTTCAAGTCCTGTCTACTCCATGCTTCCAATCCAGTCTCCTGTTAATGTGCCAGGGAGGCAGTGGATGATGGCCCACGTACTCGATTAGGTTCCTGTTACCCATGTGTGAGACCTAGATGGAATTTTTGGCTCCTGACTTCAGCCTGACACAGCCTTGGCTATTCTGGGCATTTGGAGAGTGAACCTGGGGATGAAAGAGATCTCCTTCTGTCTTTATCACTCTGCCTTTCAAATAAATAACTCTTTTTTAAAAATCATGGTCTTGATGGAGAAATTCAGCTTTTCCTCAGCAGACAAGATTTGCACCAAAGGAAAAGAATACTAAATAAAATGTTTAGAAACTGTTAGTTGAGACTAGTATTTAGCCTGGCAGCTCTACCTGTTCCCTGTAATAGGGTTTGATACTCAGCTCTGGTTCCTGACTTCAGGTTCCTACTAGTGTAGACCCTGGGAAACAACAGTGATGGTTTGAGTTCCCACCACCCATGCAGCAGACCTGGGTTACAGGCTCTTGGCTCCCAGCTTCAGCCTCAGCCCAGTGTGCGGAGCAACTCGGACTAGACTAAGTTACTGGAATTAAGACTTATTCTATGCATCTGCTCTCCCACAATATGGCGCTGAGAAGGGAGTAAACAACTTCTACGCAGCTGCCTCTCGCCAACTTGAGTGATGACCTGCAGGAGCTGATCCTGCTCCTGATTGGAGGACAGCAGCATACTCGGCGTGTGGGTAGCAGAGTTGGGATTGGTGGAAGAGGACTATGAAGGAGGAGAGAGACAACATGCACCAGGAACATCTAAGGGGAACATCCGGATAACATCTGAGCAGCCCCCGAGAGAGCCGGCTGGCCGGCGGTGTGCCGTTCCCCAGCAGAAGTGGGGAAAGTGGCAGGGGGAGCCGCCCTTCCATGGAGGTGGAAGGATCGGCAGCCAATCTGGGAAGAACCAGCAGCAAACCCGGGAAGGGCTGAGCAGACGAAAGAACAGCGCAGGGTCCTGTGTCGTTCCTCCGCGAATGGGGGAGCGACAGCCCAGCCTCAGTGGTTGTGCACATTTAGGGAGTGAATCACTGGATTGGAGGTATTCTCCCATTCTCCCTTTGCCTCATCGTGTGTGTGTGTGTGTGTGTGTGTGTGTGTGTGTATAGAAAGAGAGAGAGACAGAGAGAGAGGGAGGGAGGGAGAGAGAGTGGGAGGGAGGGAGGGAGAGTGGAGAGTGGGAGGGAGGGAGAGGGAGACACACACACACACACACATAAAAATCTGGAGAATGAATGAATGTTATGCAGCTATAGAATCAAGCCTTCTGTGACAAAACAATAGGTATTCAAAAATATTTATGATTATGTGGCTGGAAATCACAACTGGTAGGACAAAAATGCCTATTTAATGGTAGGAAGAGTAAATGACATTTGTCCTAATAATTTTTAGATTATAAAATTACTTTCATGATTCCCAGAAGGAGTGAATCTGGCTATAGATGTGCAATAGTATATGTATGTATATATATATAGACTGAATTGATTAAGCAACCTGGGATTTCAAACTATATCCATATTCTAAACTAGTATGAATATAATCAATCAATATTTCAGGTTTTCTAAAAACAGGTTAACAAATGATACAGTTTTTACCAGGCTGAAATATGATCCTTTGGCCCAGGTCTTACATTCTGAAGATATCTTTGCATAAATTTCTCCCAGATAACACTAGTGGCCCATGTACACTTCTAGTGCTATTTCAGAACCAGTTAAGGGCCGATGTTGTGGCACAGTGGGTTAAGCCGGGGCTTACAATGCTGCCATCCTGGCTCGAGTCCTGGCTGCTCTGCTTGCCATCAAGCTCCCTGCTAATGTACCCGGGAAAGCAGCTGAAGGTGGCTCAAGTACTTGAGTCCCTGCCACCCATGCAGAACACATGGATGGAGTCCCTGGCTCCTGGCTTCGGCCTGGCCCAGTCCTGGCTGTTGCAACTATTCGGAGAGTGAATCAGTGTATGGAAGATCTCTCTGTCTCTCCCCCTCCTTCACTCTGCCTTTCAAATTAAATAAATCTTAAAAAAAAAAAAAAAAAAAAAGGAAAAAGAAAGCCAAAGTTAAATTTAAAGTATACAATTTTACAAGGAAAAAGGGCCTATCCTTAAACTTCTAATTAACACAGATCTCCACCAAGAAGTTACTCCCATTTAAATTATTTCTTAACACTTTACAAGCATTTATTTAATAATTCCCTAAATTGTTTTTCCTTTTATTGAAATGCATGAAGTGGGAATATGCCAAATATTAGCTGTAGTTAGATTTTAAAAAGTATCTTTTCAGAGGAAGAGACAATGAGTCTCACAAATCTCCCAAATATGGACATCTCTCTCTCTCTCTCTCTTTTAAAAAAAGATTTATGTATTTATTTATATGAAAGGCAGAGTTAGAGAAAAGAAAACACAGAGTGATCTTCCATCTGCTGGTTCACTCCCCAAATGGTCATGGCTGGACCAGGCTGAATCCAGGAGCCAGGAGCTTCTTCTGGGTCTCCCATGTAAGTACAGGGGCCTAAGCCTTTGGGCCAACTTCTACAGCGTTTCCAGGCACATTAGCAGGGAGCTGGATCAGAAGTGGAATGCCCACACGGATGCTGGCACCTACTGCACCACAGTGCCAGCCCCAGATGGGGATATCTTTATTGCTGATTATACTGATTGCACTATGCTACTGACACGGGGTGGAGGATGGGCGGGGGGGTCCATTCAATCCATTATCTATACTGGGAAAGGTTGTGTCTTTTCAATTTCCATTTATATGATAAGATTTCTTGAGAAATGGAAATATATGTTAAGCAAAATTTGATGAACCTCACATCTCTTGTAAAGTTCTATGATAAAAACAAATCCCTTATGATCTATGTTTTCCAGTGTACAAAGTGATTTCGCCTGTGCAACTCATGTCTCCAGCGGCCCCATGAGTTACCCAGGGTAAATAATACAAAGTCCATGGCTCAAGGCAGGAGTCCTCTGCTCTCTCCCCGTTATGCAAGCCGTGTGCCTCATTAGCAGCCCTGAAACACAGGCCTAATACACATTCCAAAGACTGTTCGAGATTTTTGATTATATACAAGTTGATCATCCCTAACCTGAAAATCTGAAATGCTCCCAAATCCGAAATTTTTTGAGCATTTACGTGATGCCACAAACTGGAAATTCCACAGCTAACTGCATATGACAGGTCATGATGAAAATAGTGTATAAAATTACCTCAGGCTATGTACCAAAAGTGTATATACAAAACATAAATGAATTTCATGATTAAACTTTGGGCTCCATCCCTAAGGAATCTCATTATATATACAGGCAAATATTTCAAAATCTGAACAAAGTATCTCAAGCACTTCTGGTCCCAACCATTTCAGATAAAAGCTACTCAGCCTCTAACAGTATTACCATGGTCTCTAGGCTGGCGCTCAACAGTCTTCATTGCACCAGCACTTAACTCTGTAATTCCTTAAAATTTATTTTGGATTGAAAAATTAATATATTTTTGTTTTTTCAAGTGTAAGGGACACAGAACTGAATCTACTGTAAATAAGTTCAAAATTACGGCTTTTTCAAATGGTTTGCAAAATCTGATTATAGCTTTCCATATAACATTTTTCTAAGATGGTTTATAATCTTTTTGGGGGGAAGATTTATTTTATTTATTTGAAAGAGTTATAGAGAAAAATAGAGACAAAGAGAGAGGTGCAGGGGCTCAAGCACTTGGGCCATCTTCTGCTGCTTTCCTAGGTGCATTAGCAGGGAGCTAGATCAGAAGTGGAGCAGCCAGGACTTGAACCATAGCCCATATGGGATGCTGGCACTGCAGGTCAGGGCTTGTAACCCATTGCGCCACAGTGCTGGCCCCAGCTTATAATCTTAAAACCACTAACATGGTCTATTAAAGGAATTAAGCAGGGGCCAGTACCATGGCACAGCAGGTTAAGCCACTGGCTGCAACACCTACATCCCATATCAGAGTGCTGGTTACAGATTCGGCCGCTCTGCTTCTGATCCAGCTTCCTTTTTTTTAAAGATTTATTTTATTTATTTGAAAGACAGAGTTACAGAGAAAGGTAGAGACAGAGAGAAGGGTCTTCTATCCGCTGGTTCACTCCCCAGATGGCCGCAACGGCCACAGCTGCGTCGATCCGGAGCCAGGAGCTTCTTCCGGGTTTTCCATGCGGGTGCAAGGACCCAAGGACTTGGGCCATCTTCTGCTGCTTTCCCAGGCCATAGCAGAGAGCTCTGGTCCAGCTTCCTTTAAATGCAGCGGAGAAGATAGCCGATGACAGCCCAAACGCTTAGGCCCCTTGACACCCACATGAGAGACCTGGATGAAATTCTTGACTCCTGGCGTCACTCTGGCCCAGTCCTGGCTGCTGTGGTCACTTGGAGAATGAACCACTGGATAGAAGGGCTCCCTCTCTCTGAAGCTGTGTCTTTCAAATAAATAAATCTTTCAATAAGTTAATTGAGCAAATAACTGTTCATTTGAAACTGAAATTGATTCCAAATCAAGAATAGAATAGTTCAAATTATACAGTATAATCTTATTAGATACAAATAAGCCAGGATCTGAGTAATAAAAACCAAGAATGTTCAGTTTCAATAGAGCTGTAATCACTTATTATTGTGTGACCTTCCTTATATCAATAAACAAGCAGATTGCAAAGAAATGGAACTGAAAGACAAAGAATAACTAATTGAACTTAATCTTAAAAAAAAAAAAAAGATTTTATTTATTTCTTTGACAGGTAGAGTTACAGACATGGAGAGAGAGACAGAGAGAAAGGTCTTCCTTTCCCTAAATGGCCGCAATGGCTGGAGCTGTGCCAATACGAAGTCAGGAGCCAGGTGCTTCTTCCGGCTCTCCTATGCGGGTGCAGGGGCTCAAGCACCTGGGCCATCTTCCACTGCTATCCCAGGCCACAGCAAAGAGCTGGACTGGAAGAGAAGCAGCCAAGACTAGAACCAGCGCCCATATGGGGATGCTGGCACCACAGGTGGAGGAGTGCGCCACGGCGCATGCCCCTAATCTGATTTTAATCTTTTCCCCAGCTTTTCAAAATACTTTCAATACTTAAAAAACCATTTATATATATAAAATAATCATCTATGTATCTATTTGAGAGAGAAAGCCAGAGCCCTAGCTGCTGGGTCACTCACCAAATGACCCCAACAGATGAGGCTGGGCCAGGCTGAAGCTGGGAGTCAGGCAGGACCCAATTCAGGTCTCTCACGTGATTGGCAGGACCCAACTACTCGAGCCTTGAGCTGGTACCTCACAGGGTCAGCATTACCAGGGAGTTAGAGTTGGGAGCAGGGTCAGAATTCGAGCCCAGTTACTCCAGTAAGGGATGTGGGCATCCCAAGTGGCACCTTAACCACTAGGTCGAGCATCCTCTCTCCCCAAATTTTAATTTATTTTTAATTTATTTTTTATTTTTTTAACAGGCAGAGTGGACAGTGAGAGAGAGAGAGACAGAGACAAAGGTCTTCCTTTGCTGTTGGTTCACCCTCCAATGGCTGCCGTGGCTGGCGCGCTGCGGCCGGCGCACCACGCTGATCCGATGGCAGGAGCCAGGTGCTTCTCCTAGTCTCCCATGTGGTGCAGGGCCCAAGCACTTGGGCCATCCTCCACTGCACTCCCGGGCCACAGCAGAGAGCTGGCCTGGAAGAGGGGCAACTGGGACAGAATCGGCGCCCCAACCGGGACTAGAACCCGGTGTGCCGGTGCCGCAAGGCGGAGGATTAGCCTAGTGAGCCGCGGCGCCAGCCACCAAATTTTAATTTTAATGTCTGTTAAAAGTATTTCTTTGTCTTTGTTTTTAAAGATTTATTTATTTGAAAGGCGGAGTTATAGAGAAAGAGGGACAGACAGAGAGATCTTCCATCAGCTAGTTCACTCTCCAAATGGCCGGGTCTGGGACAGGGCAAAACCAGGAGTCTAGAACACTATCCAGGTCTCCCATGTAGGTGGCAGGGGCCCAAGCACTTGGGCCATCTTTTGCTGCTTTCCTGGACACACTAGCAAGGAGCTGGATCAGATGTGGAGCAGCCGTTACAGATGGTGGCTTAACCTGCTGTGCTACGATGCCAGCACCCAAAGTGTTATTTATTTGAAAGGCAGGCTGACAGAGAGGGACAGACAGAAAGAAGTTTTGGCATATGCTGGTTCACTCCCCAATGCCTGTAATAACCGGGGCTGGGTCAGGCCAAAGCCAAGAGGAACCTGGAACTCCATGTGGGGTTGCAGAGACCCAAGTAATTAAACCATCATCTGCTGTCTCTCAGGATGTACCAACAGGAAGCTGGATCAGATGTGCAGGAGTCAGGACTTGAACCAGCACTCTGACAATGGCATGTGGGCATCCCAAGCAGTGGCTTGACCTGCTATACCACTACGGCCATCTGTAATGTGCATTTTAAAAATCTGGAGGGGCCAGTGCTGTAGCGTAGCAGGTAAAGCCGCCACCTATAGTGCTGGCATTCTTTATGGGCACCAGTTCGCGTCCTGGCTGCTCTACTTCCAGTCCAGCTCTCTGCTGTGGCCTGGGAAAGCGGCAGAAGACGGCCCAAGTGCTTGTACCCTTGCCACTGCAGCCATCTGGGGAGTGAACCATCGGATGGAAGACCTCTCTCTCTCTGCCTCTCTGTAACTCTGCCTTTCAAATAAGTAAATGAGCTGGTGTTTAGCCTAGAGTTAAAACGGCCACGTTGCACATCAAAGTACCTGGATTTAAACCCCAGCTCTAGCGGCTGACTCAAGCTTCCTGCCTCCCATGTGGGAGATGTGCACTGTGTTCCTGCTCCCAGATTCAGCCCTTGGCCCAGCCCTGGCCAAGCCAGGCATTTAGGAAATAAGCCAGTAGGTGACAGCTTGCTCTCCCTCCAGAAAAAAACAAAAGGGTGTGTGTGTGTGTGTGTGCAGTATTGCAGCATAGTGGGTTAAGCCCTGTGTGTGATCCCAGCATCCCATATGGGTGTCCAATTCATTAGTCCCGGCTGCTCCACTTCCAATCCAGCTCCCTGGTAGCGTGCCCGGGAAAGCCGTGGAAGATGGCCTGAATACTTGGGTCCCTGTCACTCCTGTGGGAGACCCAGATGTATCTCCTGGCTCCTTGCTTCGGGTCCAGCTCTGGCCATTGCAGCCATCTGGGGAGTGAACCAGCAGATGGAAGATTTCTGTCTCCCCCCCACTTCTGTAACTTTGCTTCTAAAAGAAAGAAATCATTAAAAAAGGAGAAAATTATGTTCCCTGTGCTTATAAGAAAAAGTTGGCAGATAAACAGAAAAACAAAAAGTTACGCTTACCTGGAATCTCTTGTGTTCTCCTGACAGTTTTCTTTGAGTCTGTTTGACTTAAAACAGTTTGGGAAGATGGTTCATCTTCTAAAGAACAGACAGAACCAGAGTTAACATTCAGAATGTGTGACATTGGAGAGAATGACACAGGTTACGCATATTTAACAGCAATATGCAAATATAACAAAAGTATAAATTATCCATTTCTTTAGACACACACACTTAAGTTTACTTAGGAATTAGTCAGAATTCTTGTATGGGACAGAGTATAAATAATTCATATAAATATAAAAATAAACTAGTTGCTATTGTTGCTGTACAATAGAAAAATCTACTTTAGAAAATTAAGCGGGAGGGAAGAATGGTTATCTTAGAATTGTACCTATGAAATACATGAAATTGTTCTCTTTACAACAATTTTTTAAAAGAAAAGATGGACTATAGTGTCAAAAATGATGAAGAGAGCAGCTGGAAGAGTGAAATGTTGAGAAGTTTGACTAAAATAGAGATCGATTCTTTATGTTTTAGAAAAGTGCTCACTGCATCAGGCTGGAGGGGGGGGAGTCAACACGAGGTAACAGGTGCTTAGCCCGCCTACCAGGTGCCCAGCAGGGGAGGAGAAACAAAATTAACACAAGTCCCTAAGTTACTATTTAGTCAATGTGTTAGGGCCCTCGCCTTCAACAAGTCTCTAATCTTCGGAGAGAGGGAGGCTAACAGAGGTGGCAGACGGTCTTGGGTGTCTATACCCGAGACCAAGAAGTCTTCAAAGGCGTCAGCCGGCTGTTGACAGATACATGACAACCTGGCAGCCGGCAGCCGCCCCGCTGACCTGGGCTGACCTAGGCTGACCCTCGGCCTCTTTGTCTGCATCACAGGGCCCGCGTGCACCTCACAGATGCCTCAGCTTCCCCTGCCCGCGCCTTGGCGGCCAGGCGTGGGCGCGAGGGCCGGGCTTCGCGGGGCTGACCACACTCCTGTGCCCCACGCTCGCGGACACCGTGGGGACTGACCACACTCATGTGCCCCACGCTCGCGGACCACGAGGACACCGTGGGGACTGACCCACACTGACTGTGCCCCACGCGGACACCGAGGGGACTGACCACACTCCTGTGCCCCACGCTCGCGGGCCACGCGGACACCGTGGGGACTGACCCACACTCCTGTGCCCCACGCTCGCGGACACCGTGGGGACTGACCACACTCCTGTGCCCCACGCTCGCGGGCCACGCGGACACCGTGGGGACTGACCACACTCCTGTGCCCCACGCTCGCGGACACCGTGGGGACTGACCACACTCCTGTGCCCCACGCTCGCGGGCCACGCGGACACCGTGGGGGCTGACCCACACTCACTGTGCCCCACGCTCGCGGGCCACGCGGACACACGCCCCCTGCCCAGCGGCCGCCGAGGGGGCAGCCCGGGTCCTCACTTCCATCTCAGTGCAAGCACTTGGGGCGGGGTCTCCACTCAGCCACCGCACTCTCCCGCGAAGCGCCCCTTCTCCGTCCCCCACCTCCCCGTCCCTCTCTCCCCACGCGGATGGAGGAGGGGAACGGACTAGAGCGTTAGATCCGATCCCGACTCCTCGGGGCACGAAAGGAAATGGAAGTGGCTCCGCCAGAACCCATCAGCGGGAACTGAAACGAAAGCGAGCCGGAGGAGCGCCCCGCCCGGGAGGAGACCCCCACCCCCCTGAAGCGATGGCCAGGGACGCGCAGAGCTCGCCGGCCCCGCGCAGGGGGTCCGCACGACCCCCTCGCCCTTCTCCCCGACCCGCGGACCGAGGGGGCCCCAAGGCGCGCGCCCGCCCCGCCGGCCCCTCCGGCCCGGGAGGAGACCCCCACCCCCCTGAAGCGATGGCCAGGGACGCGCAGAGCTCGCCGGCCCCGCGCAGGGGGCCCGCACGACCCCCTCGCCCTTCTCCCCGACCCGCGGACCGAGGGGGCCCCATGGCGCGCGCCCGCCCCGCCGGCGGCGGCACCGTTCCCTCCGCCGCGCGCACCTTCAGAGGACTGAGAGTCTCGCAGCCCTCTCCGCGTCGTAATCGGAGACGCCTGGGCCGGGGGCTGCGGGGAATGCTGCTGCTGCTGCAGCTGGCGGGTCGCCCTTCGCGTCTTCATCTCCCCGGCGTCCCGGGGTCGCGGCGGCCTCCGCTGCCGAGACCGGAGGTAGTAGGCGCTTTCTCTCAATTCCTCTTTCCCAGAACCGGGCCGGAACTCTTCTGACGGGACTCGCCTTCCCGCCGGAGACCTTTCTTTGGCCACCCGGGGCTCGAAGTCGCCGTACACTTCTGGCGGCTCTTCGGAAAACCTCACTTCCCGTCGGCCCTGGCGCGACGGAAGCGTTCCGTGCGCAGGCGCGTCACCGCCGCCGCCATTTTGCGGGGCGAGCCGAGGCCGTCCCTCCCGAAGAGGGGCCCTGGGCGTGACGTACAGCCCCCACCCCTCCCGCGCCAGCTCCGCCCGCCGCCCCTCGCCCGCCATGGTTGTTGACGTAGCTCGAGTGGATTGCGAAGATGGCTCTGCGGTCCCGAGAGTCTCCCGCCGGCGGTGGCGATGGCGCCTCTTGGGGGTGGGGGGGTGTCGAGCGGTGGTCGCGGTGGTCAGGGAGGCAGCTGAGAGTCGCCGGGGCCGCCGCCTGCGTCGTCGCTGCTGTGCCGCGAAGCTGCCCCTGGGCCCATGGTGTGTCCTGCGGGCTGTGCTAGAGGCAGTGCCTGGCTGGGTCAGCTGCTCGGAGGGTCACTCCCGCCTCTTGGCTGCAGGCACCAAAGAGGAGGAGAAGGGGGAGGAAGACGTCGCTGTCCTGGGCCGCGAGGGAGGGAGCGGCGGGGCGAAGGAGCCGCGGCCGGGCCGGGCCGACTTGCAAGCGCCAGTGCGAAGGGTCCTCGCGCCCCGCCTGCTGCGCACTTTTTCTGGAACCCCCTCCCCCACTTTTTTTTTTTTGATTGACAGCTACCTGGCTGTGCCCCCACGACGGTGAGAGGATCAGATACTTTTTGCCTAGGGCATCTGTTCAGGGCGAGTTTTAGTTTCAAACCCCTAATGAAGATGGCTACCCAGGGCTAAACGCAAAACACCTGCTGGACAGGTGCGACATGTTGGCGTTCTCGCTGCGTGGGTTCCGTCGGCGAAGCGTGCTGGTAGCAGACGTGCGCCTGCTCCTGGCTTCGTTAGGGAGGCTGTTGGTGCTGCCTGTGTGCCGTGAGAACCGAACGCCTTCTTAGTGAAGTTGCGATCCATTTGATGCTGGGAGTGACTTGTGCACTTGACTGATTTCTGACAAAAATACTGGAAAGTACTGGCACTTGGTGATACCTGGCTTTTATTTATGTGTTAAGTAAGTACTGCTTTCTCTGTGAGGTGGCTTTTGCTTTACTCATTACCACGTAATAATGAAAGCTCTTTTAACAGGTGTACTACAATTATTAAAAGATGTAAATTTTATAGGGTTACTAAGGTTCATATGATGAGCATTAATGCATACATTAAGAGGCTTATTAAAACATGTACCGGTACAGGTGACTATGGACTTCTATATAGGCTTGTAAAACGTAGATTTGGGGGACCTGTTAAAGAGGAGAGGTTCTGTGTCCTGACCCATCAGAGGTGAGATTCGCAGATTACTGAGTAATCAGTACATCTTACTTTGTCATTAAAACGGGAGGTTTTCCAAGATACGAATGATGAGAACCTCACAGTAACTAACACTAGCCCATGTACTGGCGTAGAATTTTCCCAGAATAGTCAGATACATCATCCTGGCTCCAACACCGTCGCCCACACCCAGCAAGCTTGCAGACTTTGACCCCTCACTGTGGAGTAAAGCCAAACGCCGGCCAAGTATTCTCCTGTTGGTGCTCTCCAGACCATAAAGGTGACCCAAAGAGGTGACGTTAGGGAGACTGTAGACTCAACCAATATTTTAAAGGTTTTGTCTGGCCCTCAACGCCTTGAGGAAGCCTGAATTCTGGGTGTTAAAAGCAGTTCAGGAGTTTGTAGTGTGGAGAATTCAGTGAATCAACAGAGAAAAGAGAAGAAATGCTTATTACAAAGAATATTTATTAAACTTCTGTGCCAGCAAAGATGAAGACAGTGTGACTCGGAGTGCCTGCCACTGAAGAGTTAAAATTGTATATGTGCAGGTGTAAAAGTTAAGTTTAAGCCTACAGGTTTAAACCTTCCTGGTACAGCTGTGAAAAATAAAACAAAGTAGCCCCTTGCCAGTGGGGCCTCCTTTTTGGGCCCCTTGGGCCTCCCTTTGGGGAAAGCCCCCCCCCCCCCCCCCGAGACTCTGATCTGAAACTATGATCTCAAATAGTCGGACAATAGCAGTGCACTACATCACCCTTGGCAACGCACAAAAACCCCTAGCATGATTGCTCAAGCTTAAAAAGGTTACACCTGGGTTACCTGAGCTAATAATGAAAATGTGATTTGTCTATGTCTTAAGGTCATAATTGCTGATTGTAAGATATTAGCAACCGCTTAGCAACCGTGTATTCTCTCCACCCTCCCAATTTTGCGGTTTTTGCCTTTATAAACCCTAACCTTTGGTTATTCGGGGCTGCTCTGCTCATGATGATCAGACAGCCCCAGCATGCTGGATAATCAATAAAAACTTCCCTGTGCTGTTTGCATAAGAGACGTGTCTCTTGGTGACGTTTTTCGGGCGGTCAACTCTAACACCACATATTGAGGCAGATACACATCAAATATTACAGTTCAGGCCGGCGCCACGGCTCACTAGGCTAATCCTCCGCCTTGAGGCACCCGTACACCGGGTTCTAGTCCCGGTCGGGGCGCCAGATTCTGTCCCGGTTGCCCCTCTTCCAGGCCAGCTCTCTGCTGTGGCCCGGGAGTGCAGTGGAGGATGGCCCAAGTGCTTGTGTCCTGCACCCCATGGGAGACCAGGAGAAGCACCTGGCTCCTGTCTTCGGATCAGCGCGGTGCACAGGCCGCAGCGCGCCAGCCATGGCGGCCATTGGAGGGTGAACCAACGGCAAAGGAAGACCTTTCTCTGTCTCTCTCTCTCACTGTCCACTCTGTCAAAAAAAAAAAAAAAAATTTATAGTTCATGTTGAATGGCATTAGTTCACATAACTAGCTGTTAGGGCTAGGTCTAGAATCCTGTCACAACACTGGAGTTCTAAATAAAGCAGCTGATTTTATATGAGAAGCAGAGAGAAGGAGCTGTGTGAGGGGTCATTCACTCTCCTAGATGCCCACAGGGACCCCGGGGTGGGCAGAGCTGGGAGCCAGGAACTCATCCTGCGTCGCCCACGTGAGTGGCCGGGCCCAGCGACTTCACCATCGCCACTGCTCTCAGGGTAAGCATTGTTAGGAAGACTGGAGTAGGAGGAGATGCAGGAGTCTTAAATGCTAGGCCAGATGCCCCCCCAAAGCTGCTATTTTACTTTATTATTTTATTTTTTGAGATTTAACAAGATGAGAATCAATGACCTCCAGCTGGAGCGGCATGGAGGGGGCTTCCAAGAGAGGAAAACCCCAAAGGACCCCGTGGCTCTGGGGTTTTTAAGTAAACCTTTGAAGGAAAAAAAAAAAAAAACCTAGACAATCAAATTGGCATTCAGTTACCAGGTGGGGACAAAACCCATCACATACCTGTTTTACAATCCTTTATCCTATCTGGCTTGCTGGTGATAAAAACAAAAGTTTGGAGAAGGGTGGGATAGGTAATTTGTTTTCACGATACAGAGCCACTATTTAAAATGGAACTTACTTTCACATAGTTTCTGCAGGAGTTTCTTGTTTGGGTACATATAAACAAGCTATTTAAAGACAAGGTCTCAGTGAACGCATTGTGCATAATACGTTCCTGGTCAGGGAAATAAATAACTAGGGTATAATTAATAGAAATAGGTCCCTTTTGACAAGGCGGTTTTGCTGCAAAGGGTCAGAGCGAGGTTTCCACCGCTGGGACGCTCGGGTGGCCCTCGTGGGCAGGCGAGGCCGGTAGACCTCATCTGCTGCTTCTCCAGCGACACCGGCCGGGAGCTGGGTCGGGCAGGAGCAGCGGGCACTCGGCCGGACGCCTGGGGACGCTGGCCCCGCCGGCTGCGGCTGACCCCGCCGCGCCACAGCGCCAGCGCCAGGTGTTACTCAGGGGGAAGTGGACGGAAGACCTAGAGCTGGATACGGCCACTTCCCATTCTTAAAGGCGACAGGCGGGAAAAATGTCAGCAAAGCTATGAAGAGGGGAGCGGAGAGCGATCCACGACTTCTTGCGCGTTGCCTTGAAGCTAGGGACAGGGCTTCTGACGTTGTCCCTAGCCCACTGCGTTCTTGGTAAACTGCTCACAGCCCTCAGTGTCACGGCCGTAATAATCGCTGTTTTCGATCCGCTCTCGCTACGTCATCCCCGCACACATCATTCAATTATGCGATAAGGCGCTCAGGAGCCAAGTGTTAGACGAAGCAGCCCCGACACTGGCTTCCGGGTCGTGTTCGGTGCCTGCCGCCATCCTGCTCCGTGTGTCGGCCTCCTGGGTGGTTCCAGTGTGTGGACTGCTGGTCGGCATCGGGGCAGGTGGTCCGGCGGCTCGCAGGAATGCGGGCGGCCCCTCAGGGCACGGGTGCCACGGGGCGTGAGCTCCCGCTGTCGCGGGGGCCTGGGCGGGGCCCGGGCGGGGCGGGGCCTCGGCGGGGCGGGGCCCGGGCGGGGCGGGGCCTGGGCGGACTGGACGGCGGGGGCGGGGCGGGGGCGGGGCCGAGGGAGGGGCGGAGCGGCAGGCGGGCCGGCGGGGGGCGGGGCGGGCCCTGGGCGCCTGGCGGGCGAGGGGAGGGGCGTGGCCTGGGCGGAGCGGGGGCGGGGCCGAGGGCCGCCCGTCCCGGCATTCCGCGGGCGCGGCCAAGCGAGCTCACAGTCACGTGAGCCACGACGCAGGACGTTCTGCCGCGGCGGCAGTGGGGTGCAGCCCGGCGTCTTCGAGCAGACAGAAGCTCCGAGGGGCTCTGCTGGCGCGGACTGACGGCTCTGCAAGTGGGAAACCGCCGGGATCTGTGAGTAGACGGGACGGAAACACCGCTTTTGCGTGTCTTCTCCTCTCGGAAGGGCTTGAGAAACGCTCCCTCCCCACCCCCACCTCCTACCGCGCAGTGAACGAGGTAGGTTGAGGGCATGTTTTTGGTTTTGGAGTTAAAGAAAAACAAGCGAAATAGGATCCGGTGTCTAATAAGCGGGCGAAAGTGGGAGCGAGTTCCTGATTGGAGCCGGAAGAGCGAAGACAGCATTCCTTGAAGGTTCGAAAGCTGAACGTGCAGTGTGACCAGGGTTCGGTGGCGACGCCTCCCTTAACAGCCGTGCCCGCCGGGGCCCAGGCGTTCGTCACTTTAACCCTTGAAACAGCTTTTCAGAGAGCCGTCCTGGAGCTAAATAGACCGGGTCTGGAGCTGTAGCCGGACGCCGCCTTGACCACATTGGTGACTTCTTACTGACTGTCCTGCTGGCGGTAGTGTTTAATACCTCTTCGTCCCTCGAGGGAGTAGTGCCTGTTAACTCCTTTATTTTAAAGATTTATTTACTTGAAGGAGTTACACAGAGAGAAGGAGAGGCAGAGAGAGGGAAAGAGAGAGAGAGACAGAGAGAGAGAGGTCTTCCAGACAGACACAGAGAGACAGAGACACAGAGAGAGGTCTTCCATCCGCTGGTTCACTCCCCAGTGGCCGCAACGGCCGGAGCTGGGCTGATCCGAAGCCAGGAGCCAGGAGCTTCTTCCTGGTCTCCCATGCGGGTGCAGGGGCCCAAGAACGTGGGTCATCTTCCACTGCTTTCCCAGGCCATAGCAGAGAGCTGGATCGGAAGTGGAGCAGCCGGGACTCGAACCGGCGGCGGCCAGACAGGATGTCGGCACCGCAGGCGGCGGCTTCAGCCCGCTGGGCACAGCGCCTGCCCCTTGCCTGTTAAACTTCATACTGTGTACACAGCTCCAGAAATGAGTTACCTTCCTCTGGTTAAACAAACTAGCCGTGTTTTACCTGTCCGCAGGTTTTACATTTCTGAATTTTAGGTCTATGTGAGGGCGCCTTTCCTTGTCCTCATTTTTAAAAAACGAAGGCCGGCTGTGGCAGTCAGCCATATTTATCAGTTTTGTCTTTTTAAGCACATGATTAATCTATTAATGGTCCAGGGACACTTATTTACCGAAAAAGGAACTTTAGGGTAGAGAACTTCAAGGTTCTTGGAAGCCCTTGGGATTAGAACAGTTGGAAACACTAAGGTCGCTATGAAAGCGTTAAGAGAGAACTTCTGCAGTGATGTTAACTATGCGGAATGCAGAGTCCGCAACTTGGTTATCGGTGTTGCTGCAGGTTTATTGTGCAACCTTGCGTGACTCATTTTACTTAGTTTCTGTCCCGATGTACAGATAATACTGGCCGGACAACTTCAATAATTAACGAGGTAACCAGAATTCAGCGAATAGAAGCTTGTTAGGTATTTTAATAGTGCATTGTGTCTTGGATGCAGTTCATTTTTGCTTAAACCCCGTTACACCCACATTTCTTTGAGGTGCAGCTTGAATTTTCTGAAGGATGCCTTGCTCAGGACGCCTCGTCTGCCCGGAGGTTATACTGCAAGCCAGCCCTGAAAGCAAAGACTTGGAGATTCTACAGTCTCCACGAATTTTTTTCTTTTTAAAGATTTTATTTGTTTACTTGAAGGCAGAGTTACAGAGAGAGAAATAGAGAGAGAGAATTAGAATTCAGTCGCTCTTCCATCTGCTGGTTTCCTCCCCAAATGGATGCACCGGCCAGTGCTGGGCCGATCTGAAGCCAGTTCTACGCGGGTGCAGGGGCCCAAGTGTGTGGGCCCTCCTCTGCTGCTTTCCCAGGCCATCAGCAGGGAGCTGGATCAGAAGAGGAGCAGCTGGAACTCGAATTGGTGCCCATGGGATACCAGCTGTAGGCAGCGGCCCCTCCAAAGAATTTAAATTTACTATGCCACAGGACCAGCCCCTCCAAGAAATTTTAAAATTTGGCTTTTTAAAAAAATTTTGCATCTGAAATTCTGTCAAAGTTTCACATTATTTCCATATTTTATGAATTTCTGATTAAAGTGTGCCCCACAAGAGATAATTCAACGTGGTAGTTATAGTTTATCATAGATTTTGCACAGCAGATCAATATTTGGGAATAAGGAGGTCTCTGGCATTGTGAACGTGGACTTCACAGTCAGCTTGGTTCTGGCAGTGTGACTCAGCAGTTCACTTTGTCACCCTGAGCACGTTTCCTCCCTAGTTAAGTGGAAATTCATTGGGACATTTGGAATACTAAGTGGAATATTTAAGGATGCAGTCATTGGAAACATTATTGATTGGGTTTTCCTCCTCACTAATATTAAAGGAGTTGGCACATGATTTTGGTAATCAAAATAGAAAGGACAAAAATTCACCAAAATTCCAAACAAATCAAGATTGTTTTTCCTGTTTCTCTCTGTCCCTTGACCATGATACCTAAAAAGTTGAATTTAAATCATTAGTTTGTTAATCATACGAATCGGCTTGTCCGGTTCTTTATTCTGATCAGCTGGTGGAGCAGCAGCAGAACTTTTCCACTTGCTTTCCCCATTCCAGAAAGTAAAAACGCTAGCTGTGTTTTTCTTCAGTAGTTCGAGTGATAATGGTGAACTATTTGAAAACTTACTTCGTGCCCCCATAGCAAGTGTTGTACATTATCTGGCTGAACGCTCACACTGTCTCTTTTGTCTAGATGGTGTTAATCCATTTGTGGTTAAGAAAACAGAGGCACAGAATGAGTTCATCGTGTCAGAAGCAGGACAGTCTCATTTGGGCCTAGGCAGTCTGATTTTAGCTGTTTGAATTCTGTATTTGTAGACTGACTATTTGAATGTTGAGTCACATATGTGCACAGAAATTGATCCTGGAGGATGACTTTCAACTTCTATAAAAGTAATAGTATTTGTACTTTATAACTACTTTGAACACTACGCTTAAAAAAAAGTTGTAGGAAAATAATAAAAATAGGGAAGTATGTAGTGTGTTAAGAGATGAAGCCATTCATTTGTAGTCTTTTTACTTAAAATAGTAAAAATATGATTTTTTTTTTTTTTTTGACAGGCAGAGTTAGACAGTGAGAGAGAGACAGAAAGGTCTTCCTTCGGTTGGATCACCCTCCAAATGGCTGCTATGGCCGGCGCGTTGCACCTATCTGAAGCCAGGAGCCAGGTGCTTCTCCTGGTCTCCCATGCGGGTGCAGGGCCCAAGCACTTGGGCCGTCCTCCATTGCCTTCCTGGGCCACAGCAGAGAGCTGGCCTGGAAGAGGAGCAACTGGGACAGTATCCGGCGCCCCAACAGGGACTAGAACCCGGGGTGCCGGCGCTGCAGGTGGAGGATTAGCCTAGTGAGCCGCGGTGCCGACCGAAAAATATGATTTATAGACAAGGGGAGTTATTAGGACTAAATTTTCCTTTGTTTAACTGGACATAATTTAAACTAGGGTTTATAATGAGGGTAGACTAACTTTGCTTTAAAGTGATACCCCTTAAACATGGTAGTGAGCACCGGAATCCTCTGACAAATTGTTAAAACACAAATTCCTGCAGGAGACACAAGGATTCTGGTCTGTGGGTCCTGGGAATTTGTAGTTCTAACAAGTTCCCAAGTGGTATTAATGATTCCTCGCTAGTTAGTTTAGTAAGGAAACAATTATGAGGGTGCTTCAAAAACCTGATTGAAGGAGTTCCCAAAGACCAAGTTGGGACAGTTTGAGCAACAAAATGAATAGTGAAGTATAGGATTTTAACCCATAAAAAGAAAAGTCCACACTGCGATAGCTGAGTAAGAGAGGAGAAGGAACTCTTCTTAGAAGAATCCCAATCAGTAAACATAGAAGGAAGGAGGAAAATGGAAAAGTCACCATTAGGCAAATAGCACCATAGTGATTATTGTCCAAAAAATCCACCTGTGGTGCTAGTGGGTGGAAGTTTGAGAAAACCAGCTTATTTACATGGTCTGATTTTCTCCCCTGAGGCAATTATTAACTTGGAAAGGAAAATACTGAGTGGTCAATAGAGACACCACATTGACCAACTGATCACTGTTAACATCACCGGTAGAAGATTCATGCAAACAAAACATCATTTCTGTTGTTTTTGTTATTCTTGCTCAAAATACATAACCTCTTTGTAATCATAATACAATGTTGTACAAAGCCAAACTGAGGGACATTCTACGAAATGACCAGTATTAAAAAATGTCAAGGTCCCAAAGACAAGTAAAGGCTGAGAACTGTCAAGATTGGAGACTAAGAACAGTAATGACTAAACGCAGTGTGGGGTCCTGGGTTGGGAGGAGGTAGGAAGAGGGCTAAGTAGGGACAGAAGAGTTTGTGTACTCAGGGTTTAGTAACAACTACTCCAGGCATCTAGTCTGTAAAAAACAATTCCCTAAGGAGTAATGGCATTGCTTTTTGTTCCTAGTTTAGTACTTTTTCAAGCTTTCTTTCAAAAATCTGGAATAAATCACCAGTTAGTAGGAATTGAGTGTGAAAATAGTAATACCAGGCTGTGGTACAGAGGAATGGGTAAGACATAGATATATAGTTTTGAACACAGACACAAATAGCTAGTAAAAATATAGGAATTTGAATTGTGGACTTTGGTCTTTTAGGATAGCTTAGATGGAAATGTACCCATATGTTTCTACGCTATTCTCCTTTATGGTCTTTCTCTCCCACCCACCCACTGCCAGGAAAGTATGCTAAAACACAGACACACACACACACCTGTTTTGCTTGTCAATTCCTGGCATGAGAGAGAACATTCTACAGCTGTTTTCTGGATCCTGTTTTTCATTTGACCTATGTTTGTAAGTGGGAACACTGTGTGTGCTTCATAGTACTGAGTGAAGATGGCTATGCCTTGTCTTCTCAGTGTTTTCAAGACTGCCAAATCAAACGGAATTCTCACAAAAAATTGAAGATTTATTCAGGTGCACTTTTCTATTTTCAACAAAGAATTTAGATTATGGGAATTAAAAAAGAAGATTCTGTTTTTATATTCTGTAATCTCCCATAATCCAAATTCAAAATTAGCTAAAAAATATAAATCTATTTTAAGATTTCACTGTATGTTTGACTTATTGGAGAATCGCATACAAAAGAGACCTTTAGGATCACTGAATAGCCTTAAGATACGATACCTGATGGAAGAAAATATTTAAAACGGGTATTCAAGATGGTTGAAAGCATTTGTAGTTTTTCTGTGTACCTAGCTTTCGTTTTATATGTCCTGTGAGTTGTTTGAAGCTGAAGTCTAAGGGATATATTGCCTAGAAAACTCGCCACAATCCTGACCCAATCTGAAACTATCCTACCACTAAAAAGGAGGGAATTTTTGTCTCTCAAAGGCAGATCTGCGTAATAGCAAAGAAGGAAGTAGGATCAGAATATTTTGGGAAGGTAGTTATTTAGTATTTATAAAGCTGCCAAGGTTATTTGATGTTAAATTTCAGTAGATTAACTAGAACTGCGTTTTCTATTTTTATATTAAAGTGCCATTTTCTTTTCTACATTTTCGCCTAATGAAGTTTCAGAATACATTAGTTCTTACAAACAAAAGCCCGATTCGTGTTTTGTTTTTGTGCATTATTTTGGGGGTAGTGCAGCTCTTTGAACTTTGTGATCTTTTGCCCACTGTTTTTGTTCACAAGGTTTGTTTGAAAATATAGATATTCTTTTTTTTTTTTTTTTTTGACAGGCAGAGTGGACAGTGAGAGAGAGAGAGAAAGGTCTTCCTTTGCCGTTGGTTCACCTTCCAGTGGCCGCCGCGGCCAGTGCGCTGCAGCTGGCGCACCACTTGATCCGAAGGCAGGAGCCAGGTGCTTCTCCTGGTCTCCCATGGGGTGCAGGGCCCAAGCACTTGGGCCATCCTCCACTGCACTCCCTGGCCACAGCAGAGAGCTGACCTGGAAGAGGGGCAACCGGGACAGAATCCGGTGCCCTGACCGGGACTAGAACCCGGTGTGCTGGCGCTGCAAGGCGGAGGATTAGCCTAGTGAGCCGCGGCGCCGGCCGAAAACATAGGTATTCTAACACCTTTGGGCTTTCTAAATTTCCTCTGATCTCCATAAGCAATCTTTTTTTTTTTTAATTCATCTAAAAGCTGTTAGACTCCACCCAAAACATAGTTCCATTCTTGATTTGATCGACATCTTAAAGTCCTAAAAGATTTGCTTTGTAGCCATAATACTTGGCATCAGTCCCAGCATGTGGTGGTTTCCTCAATAACTTAAACAATCATATTTAATACCAGTAGAGTAATGGAAGTTCTCGAGGTATCTTCAGCATGTGAGAATGGATATGGGCAGAGAAATGGGCCAGACCTTGAAATTTAGTCTAATTGCGAATCGTACCTTAAATCAACTGCTTGTGATGCCAGTGGAGTTGAGGAAGGACGTCATTTCAGGACAGCTAAATCTTTTCCAGCCTTCAACAAGCTTTTTATCTTATTGGAAGTTCTGATGGGCACATTTACATGTCTGATTCATGAAAATGAGAATTAAATTTTCACTAGAGTGCAAATTTTTTGGATAGCTTTCAAAGGAGATTGGAGGGGAGGGAGTGGTGCTAGGAATACAAGTTCCCTTTGATAATAAAATGATTAGGAACTGTTAATGCCTAATGGTTCTGAACCATTTCAAATTCCTTTGGGAGTCCAACGAAATATGAACATCTTTCTAGAAGAAATTTACATTTAAAAATTTTTATGTGCAATTTTGAGGGATTTAAGACTGAAACTTATTCTGGATCTTTTTGTGTGGAAGTGGAAAATTTATGTAGGGTGATTTCCCTCATCTCCACTTGAGTATATACATGGAAGAGTGTCTTGTAGCTTTGCAACAGCTCATGAAAAGACTTTATGAAGATCAGCTGTCACTGCTTTAGAAAAGGCATTATTTTATATGGCAGTTGGGAGTACAGTTTCTGAAACCAGTTTGTCTGGGTTCAGATCTGGTTTCTCTGCAGCTGCCTATATGATGTTGGTCAGGTTACTTAACTTTATTTCATTAACCACAAAATGAGGATCATAATCCCTCATTGGATTATTGTAAGGGTTAATTGAGGTAATATATATAAAGTGTTCAGAACAAAAGTGGGGTAACAGGGTTACTGTGTAGTGCTGACCACAGACCGCGTGAGGTTGTCGGGCTGCCTCTGCCTGGAGGGACAGTGCATTTTTCTCATTTCTGAAGTGCTGTGTGAAGTAGCAGCCTCCCTGCACACAGATTCCTGCCTTTGTGGAGTATGCCATGCCGGCATTAAACCTTTTCCACTTTTCTTTGAAGAGAAGATTGCTTAGAACTTCATGAGAAACAAAGATCAATATCTCTCTGTAGGGTTCCTCTTTATCTCAGTCATGTCACCTGCTTCGCCTCTGAGCAGAGAAACTGGTTTTTGTCTTTCTGTATCCCATTGCGAGTTTCACTTTCCATTATACGCTTTTTTTTTTTTCCCAAATGGAGATGTGGTTATTAGGAGTTAGATATAGTGAAGATTCTTCTGGCTCCACCTGAGGAAAAATTATGATTATCTTTGAGACTCACCGAATGTCTCCTCCATCCATCCCTGTCCCTCCCATCAGATGTAGCAATTATCCTGAGTTTTGTACTTATTTTTTCCTGATTTTCTTTATTGCATATTTATCCTTTTAAAAAAAAGATTTATTTATTTGAAAAGCGGAGTTACAGAGTCGGGGAGAGGCAGAGAGAGATACATCTTCCATCTACCGGCTCAGTTCCCAAATGGCTGGGGCTGGGCCAGGCTAAAACCAGGAGCCTGGAACTTCATCTGGGTCTCCTGTGTGGGTGCAGGGGCCCAAGCACTTCGGCCATCTTCCTGAGTTGAAGGGCCGGGGGAAAGGCAGTTAGTTTGGCTGAAGTATATGGACTGTGGAGTTCCCTTGATTGAGGAATACTTGCAGTTCGGGTGCTGGCTTGATGTTGGGGGGTTGGGGGTAGAGTTATTCTGAGCACTTGGAGCCTTAGGGCTTTCTCTAGACGCCGGCAGTAGAGGTGTGGAATCCTGGGGGAGAGATGATTTTGCCCAGAGTATGTGGAGTCCTTGTTGTCAAGCCTAATTTTTGCCACTGTGGTAGATATGAAATAGTATCTTGCTGGGTTTTAGTTTCATTTTCCTCTTTTCACCCTGGAAATTAAAAACTCAATGTCTTTTTAATGTCAGACTCAGTCATAACTTTCGCACTATGTTAAAACGCTTCATGTCTGTGAGTTTTATTAGTCATCTGTATCATGACAAGACACCCAAGGTTGAATTTCAGGGATGAAAGCACCTGGTGCTGCTTTGTCAACACACCTCAGGGGAATCGATCATTCCTAAGCTGTCACCACCAAATATAAAGTGGAAGAATCAGAAGCCACCGCCCTGTCCACTCCGCCCCAGGAGCTGAGTTGGTCGTCCTCACCCGTATGTTGTTAACGAATCTCAAAAAGCTCATCTAGGCTGACTCTAGTTCATCTTTCAGGTTCCTATCAAAATATGAGTCCTGTAACGTAGCACTGTCAGAGGCTCTTCAGTTGCTGTTTTAAATTCTGAGAATCACAGCTCCTCCTGACAGTCTGTAAGGAAAAGGCTTTGATTGAAACAACCATGGCTATAACGCCTCCTTTTCAAGCCAGATCTGTATATGGTTATTCTGTTCCTGTTTTTGTTTTTTAAGATTTATTTATTTATTTGAAAGGCAGAGTTACAGTGAGAGAGGGAGAGACAGAGAGGCCTTCCATCTGCTGGTTCACTCTCCAGATGGCCACAACAGCCAGGGAAAAGCCAGGAGCCAGGCTTCATTCAGGTTTCCAGTGTGGGTGGCAGGAACCCAAGCACTTGGGTCATCTTCCCCTGCTTTCCCAGGCACATTAGCAGGGAAGTGAAGCAGCTGGGGCTTGAGCTGGACACCCATATGGGATGGCAGCATTGCAGGCGGCAGTTTTACCCACAGCACCGGCCCCAGTATTTATGCAGTTTTAACACCACACTTTGCATGGCCATCCCTTTACTCTCACAAGATTGAGCTTCATTCAGAATATATGGAAACGCTGGAGACAGAGGGAGTATATATTGTACTCTGATGATCTGTGACCCTCCTTAGGTTATTCCCTATATCCTGTTATTCCACATTGTTTACGGGTTACAGTTAGTGTCTTGAGGCTGTACAAGGGTAATGATAGCATCTGCAAATTCCAGCTGATTGGCTGTGCAGTTTTCAAAAACAACTTGGGACTAATCCTTAGGGCTATGCCTTTCTGCTTATTCAAAATGACCATATGCATAAACCTGTAAAAATAACTGCAATGAGATGTTCCCCGGTTAGTTTCTTTACAGGCTTCAAAAGGATTTCATCCAATTTCTGGTGATTATCTAACATTTTTGTAAGCTTTTCCATGGACAAATTCAAGTCTATTATGGCAAGGCTGTCATCAGTCATGTGTCCCACACATTATGGGAATACCATATATGGCACCCATTTCACAGAGGAGATACACAAAAAATGCAGCAATTCCAAGCTTTTACTAATATATAAGCATAATTAGACTTTATTATTCCTAAAGTGCAAAAGGAGTAGAAAAAGGAAACACAGCACCCCTCCAAAAAGTAACTGGTGCTATTGTCAATCATAAATGATCCAAAACCCTTCTCATGCCCATATGAGCATAAGAATAACTCCCACGAAACAAATTAGTTTGAACCCGCATTAAATTGACGAGGGAAAACCCTTGAGACAGTTCTTATCCACAGTGACCCAAGTAGTTTTCACATGTATGTTTCTGATGATGTGAGCAACTGCCAAGCCCATATGAGTCGTCTGAAGTTTTATCATTTACAGGTGTGTGACGCATTCCCAGACCCTGCAACCAACTCGGCATCAGCTCCTTCTCAGACTGGGCCCGGGTTAAGGTCCTCCCAAGACAAACTCCACTGGATCCACGCTCAAGAGGACTCTGCCAGGTCTTCCTGACCCCCTTACATCTCTGTAAAGTGCCAAGGCCTTAAGACTTGGGTACGTTTACAACAGCAAGAGTACCGGTGCTGACAACAGACCCATTGGATCAGTCAGCTCTGCTGTTTCACCAAGCAGACAGAACCTTATCTACAGTGAGCCAAGTGCCTCAGTGCGATACCACCAGCCTCGGCTAGAACCCTGTTGTTTCTTGAGAAGCTGGGATTTGAAGGAGCTATTCTGAGATCTGGGCTGCTAGTAAGTGACTGATAACTTTATAGACTGGATTGATCCCTGAGGTCAGAGACTGCGTTACAATTGAGTGAAACATAGACTACAAAATCTTGAAGCATTTTATCAGGGTGCAAGCCAGATTTAACCCTCTCCAAGTAAAGTTGGTTGAACTGAGAGATCACTAAACCAAACCTGTAATAGGACTGGTCACTTGGGTATCTGTCTTTGTCATATTTGCCTCTTGCTGTTACATTGCTACTTGTGCTGTCTTTGTAGGTCCAGATGTTCTCAGATAATTCGCATTGCCCTGATTGCGGACAGCAGTGGTTCCCTAGTCTAGAACTAGGCCACTGGTTGTACCAAACTGAGCTTGTTGAAAATGAGTGTTACCAAGTGTTCTTAGACCGCATCAACAGGGCTGATTATTGCCCCGAGTGTTACCCTGATAATCCTGCTAATAGAAGCCTTGTTCTTCCGTGGTCTTTCCCCCTTGAGTGGGCTCCACAAAACCTCACCAGGTGGACCTTTGAAAAAGCTTGTCACCCATTTCTTCTGGGTCCTCCGCTGGTTAGGAAAAGGATCCATGACTCCAGAATTGCTGGTTTTAACCCTGCTTTACAGTTGATCTTGACCAGAACCGACAAAACTTTAAACAAAAAACTTGGTCAAAGCAAGTAATTTCTGTGACAGTCAAGATCATGGAGACTTTAGAGTCTCCACAAATATGGAAAAATAACTTTTTTAAATCTGACCCAGGTTCTCAGTACTTTGGGGAACTGCACCAGCTGTTGGATCTGCTTCCGTGGCCCACATACATTTTGTTCAGCATGAATTTAGGCAGTATTCCAGCCAGACTGTTCATCTAGAACCAGAATAATCTATTTCCTCTATCAATGATATATTGGAACTAGCTTGTCCCACCCAAAAATTTCCACAGCCTAATCACTGACGTATGGCAAGATAGTCTTAGAGAAGAACCTGTACTACGTACTTTATAATGGTATTTCTAGTAATAACTTTTGTAGGGACACATCCTCATTGTAGCTGGATTCTACATTGTTCTGAAAATCTTAGTAAGAAACTACATTGTTCTAAGTTTTATCTCTTACATGTTGATCATTGGCTATATATCTATAATTTATTCATATATAAACATTTATTCATCATTGGCTCTGTTTGGCCCGTCTTTATTGTGGCTCTGACCATACTGATAATTGGTCACCTTCAGAGAAGTTACATTGTGTTGGGTAAAACCTCCATAAGTTACTCAAAACCTTGTAGAAATGCCACACTAACTAATGTAGACTAATGTCTGCACTAACTTGGCTCCACAAAAATTCTATCCTGTCTTTGTGGGTGCCTAACTTGCTGTGTCCCCTACCCTGGAAATGGAAGACTACTGTTACTGATCAGCTATGTGACAAAGAGAACTATCAAACCTGATTCCTTAAAAATTATGAACAGTCTGCGGGAGTCTGCCTTCTTAGAAGTAAGAAAATCTTGCTGGACGTTGGTGACATTGGCCTTCACATGTTCATGTGAACATGAACTTGGAACAATGAGTTGAAGTTAAGCAGTTGAGACAGAGTTGCTGAAAACATCTCAGAGGCCACTGGACAGTTTTGAAATCGCATTTAAGATGCTGGGTAATCCAGGGCTTAAGTAGCGGGTCCACAGTGTTGCCGAGGCTTCCCCTCTGGGATCTTTGTTTGCTTTTTGTCCTCATGGATATTTCCTCAGTGATGACCATATGGCTTGTTGCTGCACCAGGCATTTCCAAAGGGTGGAAGTAAGGAGCAGAGGCTTTGTCCTTTCAAGTCATCTTTCAGTTGGGAATAAAATCTGTCTCAACAGTCTCTAGCACGTTGCTTCTTCCATCTCATCAGAAGGTACTGGTCTGGTTCACAGGGGAGCCTGGGAAAGCTGGCAAAGGGGTGCTGGGGCTTGGCATTGCCTGGGTGGGGCTCTTCCAGGAGGGAATAGTGGGGAATGAATGGCTGTTGGCATGCAACAAGTCATACTTGCAATATGTTGTAAAAGCTAAAGTTACCTGTTAGTCTGTCTAAAGAATGTAACCCAGAGATCCACCCTGTACCTGCCTTATGTCTGTCATCCTGGAGGTTCTCTCCTGTTACGTTGCTGAATAAACTGTGTGGACTGCTGAACCGACTGAAGACGAGTTAGTTTATCATTAACCCTTAATTAAGAACTCCTTCGCTATCTAAAGGCTCTTCCTAAAAAAAGTGAAAATTTACTTTAAGATAGAGCTTTTGAGGATGGTGGGACTGTTTTTTTCATTGGTTAGAGAATGCTCATGCTCCAAGGACACATATTAAGAAACACTCCACAAATAGTACCTTCGGAAATTCTCACACCACCACTTTATGGACCAGACTTTGAGGAACTGTAGCAGCATGTCCATAGTGTATTTATCTTGAAAGGATGGGAGCTGAGCACTCCTACTGCATGCTAGTGCTACAGGTTCTCTGTCCCTAGTCCAAAATCCGAAATGCTCCAGAATCTGAAAATTGAGTGTCAGGTTTTGAATTTTAGATTTTTGGTTAAGGGTGCTTGTCTGAAAGTCTGTACAAATACTCTGAAATCTGAAAAACCGAAACCTGAAATACTTCTGGTCCCACACAGCTCAGATAAGGGAGACTCAGCCTGTACTTGCTGTACTTTGCTCTACTGGTACAGACCATTTAATCAAGATATTCTAGACCTCCTCACAAGCTATGTAGACTATGGGCAATAGAAAGGCATACATATTAACCTTAAGGTTAAAGTTATTTTGCCTTCAAATGTGAATAATATCACATACCTGTATAGTCAGCGCTCAGAAATCAGCATTATGTGGTGGAGCTCATAAAATTGAGCAAAGGAGAAAACTTAGAAAGTATTTGTAGTTTTTCAGCTTAGGTCTTTTAGGTACAACTTCATGTGGTTTAAAATGTTACAGATTATTCCAGAATATCCCATAGTTAGTATGAGTAGTGAATTTTATTAAAATGGAAGTATGTTGCTAAAATTAGTTCTAATGACACATGATGTGGAGAGGGACCTGAGTTAAGGAAGGAAGGCCCGACAAGCAGGTGGGCAGAAACAAGTCCATGGCTTCCCGAGATGCAGGTGGCGGTCTGCATGGCTCAGTGACATGATTCTGCCCCTTTCGTCTTTCCAGTCTCCTGTGGCAGACCTGGTCTCCTGGACTTTTCAAATGCTTTATACAAAAGTGAAAGTACAGCCTTGTAGCTAGCTGGGTTCTAATTCTGTCCTGATTCGGACTCTTTTTAAGATATATTTATTTATTTGAAAGCATTACAGAGAGAGGGAGAGACAGAGATCTTCCGTCTGCTGGTTCACTCCCCAAATGACCACGATGACCAGGGCTGGGCCAGGCCAAAGTCAGGAGCCAGGAGCTTTATCCAGGTCTCCCACATGTGTAGCAGGGACCCAAACACGTGGGTCATCTGCTGCTGCTTTTCCCAGGCCATTAGCAGAGGGCTGGATCAGAAGTGGAGCTGCTGCGACTCAAACTGGGCCTGTATGGGATGCTGGTGCTGCAGGTGATGGCTTTGCTCACTTCACCACAACGCTGCCCCACTGCTAAGCTTTTTTATTTTATTCATTTGAAAAGCGGAGAGAGAGCTCCTCCATCTATTGGTTCACCCTCCAAATGCTCACAATAGCTTGGACTGGGTCTTCCTAAGCCAGGAACTCAATTCAGGTCTCCCATGTGGGTGGCAGGGACCCAACTACTTGAGCCATTACCTGCTGCCTGCCTCCTAAGGTGCACACTAGCAGGAAACTGGAATTAGGAGTGGAGCCAGGGCTCAAACTTAGGCACTCTGTTATGGGATGTGGGCATCTCAAGCAGTAGTCTTCACTCCCAGACCAAACACCTGCCCCTTAGCTGTTGAAACTTCTAATTTCCCTTTCTCCCTTTTTGAAAAATACAAAGATTGGTGCCTCCTGGTACCTGCTCCTTCCCTGCTCCTCAGGTATCGTCCAGGCCTCCATGTTCTCCCCTTCTGTTCCTGGGTCCCCATGGCAACACTGGAGGCTTGCGGATGGAGTGGAGAATAAGTAAGGTTCCACTGTGCTCTCAGCCACAGGTCTGCTCTTGCAGGCTGCTTTTCCTTGTCCTGTCTCCTCCCAGCTGATTGTAGCAAAACTGGGAGGCTGTGGTTGAGGTCGTATTCATTGAACTCAGGAGAGCTGTCATTACAGGCCTTTTCTTTGATACTTTTCCTACAGAGGCTAGTTTATTACTCATTTGAAAAATCTGCACCAAACATACAGAAAGTACACAAAGTAGCAAAACAGTTGTGTACCCAATCTCAAATATATTACCATTTTGCCACCTTAGTTTTTTTTTTGAGAAACTTCTGTAGTTGACACTTACTCAGTTTTGCAGAAGCAAGTGCTGAAAGGAAGTTGATTTGTATGTTTTCCATTTATGTGTTTGTGATTTTTTGTTTTTAAAGATGTATTTATTTGAAAGGCAAAGTTACAGAGAGGCAGAGGCACAGAGAAAGAGAAAGAGGTCTTCCATCTGCTGGTTCACTCTCCAGATGGCCGCAACGGCTGGAGCTGCGCTGATCCGAAGCCAGGAGCCAGAAGCTTCTTCCGGGTCTCCCACGCAGGTGCAGGGGCCCAAGGACTTGGGCCATCTTCTGCTGCTTTCCCAGGCCATAGCAGAGAGCTGGATCGGAAGTGGAGCAGCTGAGACTCGAACCGGTGGCCATATGGGATGCCGACACAGCAGGCAGCAGCTTTACCCACTGCGCCACAGCACGGCCCCCTGTGTTTGTGTTTAAATCATATACAGTAATGTAAACAATAAACAGAGCCACAAAAATGCCTGAATAAAAATTCATTAGTATAAAGTTTATATATAAAAAACTACACATCAATTTTTAGTTACCCTTACAGCACTTCACTTTGTATCTTGGAGTCTTCTAACTTGGTTGTGTGACTGCAGGACAAAGGTTTTTTAAAGCATGTGCCATTGTGTAGTGAGATGAGCAGTGGGGCACATCTTAAAAGTGCAGGGTGGCCAAAGTTGGGAAGGACACAGGGAGACAAATTTGTGACCCTTTGTAGAAAAGTCTCAGGAAATAAAAATTAAAGACGGCATCCCAGCCTACCCTCCAGTGCATTCCCCATTGATGGAGAATGAAACTTTACAACTTGAACCTGTTTCAAACCCTGATGCACAGTTAAAGCAAGGCGATCAATTTCTGTTGGAGATTTTAGGGTTACCGGAAAGTGGAGGTGACTGTTGGTGATGAGGCTGAATTTCATTTAAGTTGGAAAACGAACCATCATCACTTCTACCTATGGGGCAAATCAGCATTTCACAATTGAACTTGTAAGGGATTCACCAAAAGCTGATGACTTTGGTACCGAATGAATTACATAGGTTTTTATCAGTTTCTTGTTGCAGACTAGCAAAGTTACCTTTTTTGGACATGCTTATGGAATGTTCCTTCCTATAGCTACAGAAAATCTCCAGCAATCCCATTTCATCTGCCTCTCGTTATCCAGTCTGGAGGTTCTTAATACATCTTCTGATTTGGACCGCATGCAGTTCAGAAGGGTCACCACCTCTGAACCAGAGGCCTCCACATCTCCCAGAGACCCTCCCATGTCACTGTTGGTGAGAATGTGTCAAGAACCTCCCTCCCTGTAACTCAACCTTTAATATAAATAAAAATTTTAAAAACTCTCAGTGTTTGTTACACTTCTTCCTTGCAGCTGTGAGTGAATGCCTTTTCCACTGTGAACGTGACAAAGCGTCTGAAGGCACGGGATGGGTGTGTGACAGGCAAAGTGTCTATGAAGTATGTATAAGATTTATGATTATGTGTGATGGTTCCTTTGTAGATTTTACTTGCAACCCAGTCACTAAGGAATGCATTATTAAAATTATATTTCAATAATTCATTTATTAGCACTACACTGGTTCACTCCTCAAATTCCTGCAATGCCTTGGGCTGGGCCAGGGCCAAAGCCTGGGAGCCAGGAATGTAATCTGGATCTCCCACGTGAGTGACAAGAACCCAGTTACTGAGTCATCCCTACTGCCTCCTGGGGTCTGCATTAGCAGGAAGCTGGAGTCAAGAGCCAGAGCCGGGGGATCAAGTCCAGGCACTGTGATGTGACAGGGGCGTCTTAACCACTGGGCTAACTGCCCACTTACAAATAATAAAATTATGAAGGGATTCAGTTCTGTTTGTTTCAAATAAAGTTTTTGATAATTATACAGGTTTTTATATGATCACAAATGGACCCATGACTTCAATAAAGAGATGAAAAGTTTTGTTACTGAGAAAGATTTTCTCATACTGTTTTCAAAGTTATACTCCTTCCCTCAGTAATCGCTGGTTTTCTAACACCATAGATCGTAATCACTTGCTGATTCTAGAACTTCCTATAAATAGAATTTTTGACAGTCTTCTGTGTGTGGTTTATTTCAGTCTTTTTTTTTTTCATTCATTTTATGGCATGTATTGGTATTTGACTCATTTTGTTGCTTTATTTGAGTTACTCTGTAGTATTATGTTTCTTGAATTTTATGTAAATGCTGTAATTCTGCTACAACTTTTGAGATAATCAGTTCATTTTAAATATAAGATTATGCCACAATTTTAAAGATAAATATGCCTGAGAGACAAAGCTCTTTTTTTAAAAATTTTTTTTATTTTTTGACAGGCAGAGTGGACAGTGAGAGAGAGAGACAGAGAGAAAGGTCTTCCTTTGCCGTTGGTTCACCCTCCAATGGCCACCACGGCTGGCACACTGCGGCCAGCGCACTGCGCTGATCCGAGGCAGGAGCCAGGTGTTTCTCCTGGTCTCCCATGGGGTGCAGGGCCCAAGCACTTGGGCCATCCTCCACTATACTCCCTGGCCACAGCAGAGAGCTGGCTGGGAAGAGGGGCAACCGGGACAGAATCCGGCACCCCAACCGGGACTAGAACCCGGTGTGCCGGCGCCGCAAGGCGGAGGATTAGCCTAGTGAGCCACGGCGCCGGCTGGACAAAGCCCTTGCCTACTGGTTCACTCTGCAGATGCTCACAGCAGCTGGGGCTGGAAACTCAATTCAGGTCTGTCACACAGGAACCCAATTTCATGAGCCATCACTTCTGCCTCCTAGGTTCTGCATT